ATAAAACAACAAACAAAGCAGGTCGGACTTCCGGGAATCAATATACTTATATATTTATATACGCCGCTAATTGAATTAAACAAGCTGCATTGAAGATACAACGAAATAATGGAGATTAAACACGGATAATTAGTCTAATTATGTAAAGATACGTATATAATATACTTACATGATGTTCATACTAAAAAGATCGCATGGCCTGCCAGAAAGGACGAGCAAGCAACAAGGAACTTTATTATTATTATTGTTCCCTTGGGTTCCTAGTGGAACATACGGCTTCAAATGCACGTCTCAACTGGCTTCTGTCTCTCTTCTGCTGTACTTTTCACCTGCACCCATGTTAGTCCATACTGTTTCAACTCCTCTTCCCACGATCTCCTCCATGTCACCCTTGCACTGACGACCCACTCGCCGCTTCCCTTTCGGGTTCCACTCAAGCAATAGCCTGACGCGCGATGTCACCAACCGGCCTCCTCAGTGAGTGTCCAATGTGTCACCTCCACTTTCTCCTGCATATTTGTTGGTTGGCGATTGGTTCTTGTTTTCTTTGTTCCCATAGTTTCTTGTTGGTGATTCTTTCCGGCCCGGCCATCTGATCTTCAGCATAGAGCGAAGGCAGTTGTTGATAAATGTCTGCAACAGGCTGTTGGAAATATTCTTTGTGACCCGCCCGCCAAGTTTCTGATCCGTATAGAAGAACTGACTGACTTGATGTTTGTATACCGTTTGGAATAAAGCTGTTATTATTATTATTATTGAAAATCTGACTGAATTTTGTTGTTGATTCTGGCTGAGTGACGAAGATTTCCAGATTGGCTTCAGGTTGATGAATGTGTTTCTCGCCTTCCCGATTCGATTCTCACTCGATTTGACATCCGCGTCCGTTCCGACTTCCTGTAGTTGAGACAATGCTCCCTAGATAAGTGAGTGAATGAATCAAACTTTCAAATCCCTCCCGTTGATGGTGATTGACGCTGGATGTTGCTGTTGTTGTTGGTTGGTTATTTTTTATCACCTCCGTCTTGTCTATGTTAGCGAACAGTCGACCAACAACCTCTCATCGAAAGAAATGTACAAAAGAAAATGAAAATGGATTAAACAGACGCCGAAAAGACCTTTAAATGACATCCTGCGTAATACAGAGTAAAACCAGAGTGGGAATCGAAGGGTTGGGATTATGTCTGAAGATAACATGGAGGAAACCATGTGAAAACTAGAGAATAACTTTTGAACAATCATGGAGTCAACTAAAAGGGACAGCAGAGAAAAGAGTACAATGATGGTATGCTTCTGAAGCCCTATATTCCACTCAGAACCCAATTTAACAGAAATCATAATAATAACAATAATGCAGAAAGGCCAACATGTCTTGCAATTTATCATACTTAAAATGTGACGTGTGTAAAAAGCTTTTTCTAAGGGCCAGTGTAAGGAATTATCAAACTTATAAAAATATATGACACTGATAAGTAAATAAATTGTGAAATCTCTAAATACATATTTGTGATCCTCTGTTGCATATACTTTATAAAATCCAGTGAATATAATCAAAATTAACCGTAAATGAGATCAACTGCAGAATGTAGATTCAGTATATGGTTAGAGAATTACATAATTGAGGCCTTGCCCCGCAAACAATGTGGTACAACTGAGAGCAGATAGACTTCGAACTCCTTCACTAAATATTCTCATGTTACCACACATTCATAGGCTCTAAAAAGTTAGTCTTATTCTCAAGAGTTGGTTTCTAAGGATTAAATTTGAAAATTAATCTGATGCTCGCTAGTGACTTGCTACAGGACGGAGTTTCCTGGAGTTCTAGTGAGAAGTCGGGATCAGTGAGGTCCATCCAATCAAGTGTGGGGATGGATTTCCCACCGATGATATTGGTTGGTGGTCGCGCTAAACCACGAAATGGTAGAGGTTAGAATTCATGGGCTGGCCACTGAATCGGGTCCCAATGGCTCAATGGTCTACGAGTTGGTCTTGCAACCAGAAGGTCCTGGGTTCGAACCTTGGCAGTGGGTGCATACTGTCGATGATTCCCAAACTACGATGATACTGCTGTCCAATACTCCCTGGTTTTCAATCTTTCTCTAACTAATATCAATCCGCAGTTAAACTCGTAAAAATAAGTCTTTTCATTGCATTCACACGGCAAAAATGTTTCTCACAAAAGTGAAACGGGAAGCGAGAAGGTTTGGAGCTTACAACCGGACTAATGTATATGCAGATCAACCTAGGGGAGTTGAAAAACCCTGGTTCCAAACCTGTGGTGTACATGAGTCCAGAATCCAAAAGGATCGAACACAGTATCAACCAATCTCAACCATCGGGAACTTAGCTCCTGACTTTGCCTCACTGATTTGTGAATCAGACACCAAGTAAAATGCTTGGGTCTTGGCGTTGGAGCAGTATCTTAGCCTTTTCACAAACGATGAGATTTTGTATGACGTGTTCCTTGGTGTCCATAATGTACGAAGTTTCCCTTAATGATAGTAATAATAATTACATGATTGTTTGGGGCAGACTTAGTTATACTACCATTATGTGAATATAACCTTTTAAATATCACTCTTGTTCATTTAGAATGCCTAATTAACACAAATAGCAATATTATGCGACTCTCATTAGGGTTCGTATTTCAGCTTGATTAGCTTGGACTAAGGTAAAAACCATACATCTCATTCAATGCAGTATTTCAGCGGGTATAGTATTTAGAAATTTTGACGGAATGACGAAATCCTGAGTGATACTACGGCCGACTGAAAATTGTAGATCGGCGTCGAGTGGCAAGTAACCACCTCATCTATGACGCTTGGATTAATGGTCAAAAAATCTAACAGAATATAAGTACTTGATTAACACATTCAAAACCTATTTAGAAAGTGGTTTATTGAAGTTATTATTTCTCCGTTGTGTCTAAAATAAACTGACAATTCAATCGCTACACAATGATTTTATACACTCTCTTGTTAGACTGTTGACATCGTATTATAATTTACTGTCTATCAGTTTATTTAGGTCACTGATAACCAGGATACATTGCTTTGCTTTTCGTCAAACATTAGTGGTAGCATTATAATAGATAGCAGTCTAATTAATGTTAGCAAGTATATTACATTTTTATTATATTAATTAAATACCCCTCCAATTTCGGTGTAGGCCACAAATCTTTTTGTGTATCGAATGAACACCAAACACACTGGGATCGAAGCTAATGCAACGCTTACGCACAATATTTGGAAAACTGCTACCAAAACATTTAGTGGAGTAAAGCAGATTAGGAAGTGGTATGAATACGTCGATATGATTATGAGCAATTAATTATGAGTGAAACGTCACCCAGTTATTAACACCATAGCAATATGTGTAGCATCAAATAAACTAATCTAATATGGAGTCATCTTCGACCATACTGTTCAAATTCTATTCTTACCTTAACTTCCATACATCTAGCGCTGAGGTGTCAGCTTTGAGGAGCAAACCCGAAAGACTGACACCGCTTCATCTTAAATATATAAGTTACAAAATATTTGTGCAAATCACGGACTTAAAACTGCCTTCTGTCAGACAAAATCCTACATTATGAAGGCTATCGCTGACAAGCACAATTCCTACCCTCGGTGCAAGTACACCTAGAAGTTTTCAAGAACTACTCTTCAAATCCATCATCGGCTGGCGGACACCGATAGTTGACATATCCTACAGTGGTCAGGCGATTACGTGAGTTTATATATATATATATATATATATATATATATATATATATATATAGTCTCGTCGACTCAGAGTATGTGGATTATATTGTTATCCTAAGTAAAGACGCTAATGAAAATGCAGCCTTCTTAACACCTTAAGCAGAAACCTTCCAGCGTTTGAGATGCAGTTTGCTCTTGTCGAATTATGCATCATGAATAGACCACACCAGCTCCTAGCTTAAAGATAGAAAATGAAGTGGTAGAGCATGTTGACAACTCCACTTATTTAGGAAGTTGGTTTCAGCTATAATGGACTGATTGCTGATGTAATGTCAGCACAGCTACGAAAGGTTCGTGTGGTATTTGCTATTCTATTTCATCTTTGGTGCATACGAGATAACCAATGTCTGTAGATTAAAGGACGTGTTTACCGCGCAGCAGTCAGTTCTGTCCTTCTTCACGGCTGTGAGATACTGCTGTTGAAAGAGGGACATTTAAAAAAACTGACAATCTTTATTCAGAGATGTATTCGTTAGGTGGTGTAATAGGATGGGTAATTTTGAGATTAGAAAGAGAGTGCTGGGTAAGGAGGGTAAATCAGTATATAAATTTGTGAAACTACATGCTAAACCCTCGCCTCCCTGGACAAGTAATGTCAGATGACACATGATTAGTTTGGAAGAAAGTTAGGGGTGGTCGAACCAAGGAGTGAAATCAATCCATGAAAACTTTGACTCTTAGTCTGAGACAATCACGCAGGGCGGAAGAGATTGCATGGTTACGGTACTTAGGTTGCTAAGCACCAGGGGATGGAGATTGTAGGTGATATGGATCAATATCGTTCTCAATGGCTGAGAGACATTCACTATATAATTCCCCAAATCCCTTAAACACCCATGTTTTTACATGTTACTCTTCTTTTCCCCTAACATTTGTGCTTATTAAAATACTTCTGAATGCCTTTACTAACGCTTATGTCTACCTTTGTGTGCCGCATGGGATGCAACAACCTGAACTGCTACATTTCTGTGCAAATTTCTATGAAATACAAATATGTTGCTAACTTCAAATTCCAGTGTGCTTCTAATACACATGATATTAGTTGAAAATCTGGTTAGCGACTTATACGCTATGTGTGAACCTTTTGAAATAATGTTAAGGTGTAGCCCATCAGTTAAGACGGTCGACCTGTAATCGTCGGGTCATACGTTCGAAGCGGGAACCACCTTATTTGGTTGGTACAGTCAAGTAGCCCAGCTTGTACTTACACAGAAAAGAAGCATTATTTTCATTATCAATAACTTGTATTTATCAATTGCCTAAAAACCTCTCTACTTCCTAATACATAAGTGAAAAACACCATAGCTAATAGATGAATCGCACATCAAAAGAAAAACAATCAGTAGAAATAAATCCAAACAAATAATAATACATGTAAATATAAGTATGAGCAAAATGCCAACTAAACTGTTGATGAAATGCTTAAACCGATCAGACCATTTCGAAGCCAATTACAAATTTGTTGTAGACAGTTAGAGATATTTGAAAGTTCCACTTTGAATTCATTGAGTTCTTTTGACTGTAAGATTTCTGTTTGACACTTGTTGTATAAATTTCGGAACTTTTCATACGAAGATCTAACATAGGGAAAATAAATTGAATTATAACCTGTTGTCCCTTGGATGATATTTCTCAAAGGTGCATTTTCCCTTTGACTGGTAACTAGCACAAAATGCTTGGCAATGCCAGAAAGTATTCGATTGAGATATGATGGAAAACTGAAATTTAGAAAAATTAAAAAAGATTATTTCTTTTTTTTTTAATTTATTTATTTCGAACGATAAACAATCTCCTAGAGAGAAATTATTATTGTGATTTATATATGTGTAAAATTCGGCCACTGTGACAGAATCTAATTCTAGATTTATTTGTTGACTGGCTCTATATTGAATGCAGTGAAGCGGTATTATTTGCTCGAAGAGTATGTTTTGAACACAATTCGTTGTTCATCATCGTATTAAAATTATAAATAAACAACTTCGAAACTAGATTTTCATGGTTTTGTATATTACTTCCTATTCGTTGTAGGGGTAGTGGAATTTTCCAGATATGCGAGACAGGCGTTGAATCATTCCCTTTACACATATTTCGTTGCGTCTGTGGCACAGCGGTAGAATGCTCGCCAACTACGCCACACATGGTTCGGGGTTCAATCACTGGTGACCGACTCACTCTATTGCCTCACTAAGCTAGTAATAAAACTGGTAAGGAGGGATGGTTGGGCATGAGGCTGGCAACCCCATCCCGTAAAAAAAATAAACATCACTGCTACTGAAACCTCAAACCTCTAGCTTGAAGCCCTATGCTCCACTGGGAACGTAGAGGAATAGACTAACACAAATATCTCGAGCTGATTCGATATATCAAACTTCAGGTTTTAATATCTTTTTCTATTATTTTAGGTTTTAAGACTATCATCTTATCCCATCATGTTGTATGGCTGTGTATAACTGCACGTAGTACTATAGCCGAGCTATTTTCTAGATTTCTTGTCATATTAGGATCAACAAATCTAGATTTTGCCAGTCTGAATGACCCTGTTTAACTATTGTGGCCTATGCATTTTACCTGACAGTCATTGCAAGCTATTAGATAAACACACCTTTTTGTTCAGCGAAGAAATATCTCTTCTCAACGACCTCATTTTCAAGCTGTACAGTCGTCTTTATATGATGGAAAAAGATTTCAAGTAGCACTAGAAATTGCTCAGTCACTATTTCACATATGATAAGAATAAAGATACTTAAAATTATCTACTAAGGCGGTTGAGGTGAAGTGGATGAATTACAAAACTTTTAGACATGATTAAATAAGTAAACTGGTATAAAGATTTTAAAATTGTAGGTCAAGTGTTTCCTAAAAATTAACAGTGTGATAATGATAGTAAAGACGGTGAAGATGAAGTGAAGTGAAATGAATTCAAGTGGTAGAATAGAAGAATATAACCATCACCAAGGTAAAGAAAGGGGTTAAACTAAACGTTTGTGAGCACATAATTTACATTTCTGTTCATGTGTAGCTAGAATTTTGGCCGTGCATAAATGGAGAAAACGTAGGCTTTAGGGGTGGTTGGATTTGGTCCTGTAAATAACTTCGAAGGATAAATCACGTGGGGCTGAACGACCTGACTCTAGAATGTGTTCACAAATTAAAGACTGCATCGTTCTATGCTCACAAGTCATTAACCGAACCGGGTGATGATCAGCTACGCGTTTGCGGAGAACACGCTTACAAAGTCCAATGTAAACAGCTCCATGCGAGCATGTGAATGAGTATATGCACATAGAGGTGGACATAAGCGTTAGTTTATGCTAAACATATTGTCGAATAATATTTCAATTAGATCTCACCAGACTTTAATATATATATACCTTCACAAATAAAAAGTTAAATATAAACCAATCATGGTGTTTTGTCTATAGGAAAACAAGATTATTATTATTTCCTTTAATTCCCAGACGAACATAGGGCTTCAGCCACACGTCTCCATTGCGTTCGGTTCTCTGTTAACGTTTTCACCTGGCTCCAGGTCTGCCCAAATGACTTCATCTCCTCTTCACATGACCTCCTCCAAGTCACCCTTGCAATGATGACCAACTCGCCGCTTTCCTTTCGGGTTCCACTCGAGCAATGTCTTGTCTAGTGATGTCACTCACTTGATGCTTTGTTTCCTCAGAAAATGGCCAGCCAATCCACCTCCATTTCTTCTTGCTTATTTGTTGCACAATCAGTTCCTGGTTGGTTCGCTCAACGCCAGAGATCACTGTTGCTGATGATTTCTGGCCATCTCATCTTGAATATTGAACGAAAACAGCTGTTAATGAAGGTCTGTAATTTGTTCGAAGTGCCCTTCGTGACGCGGCGCCAAGTCTCTGATCCGTGTAGTAACACTGACTGACTTCACATTGGAGTTGAAAATCCGGACCTTTTCTTTCACGCCGAATGGCGTAGACCTCCGCGCAGACCTGAGAGTAATGAAAGCTTGTCTTGCTTTCCCGATCCTCGCTTTGATATCCTCATTAGTTCCGTCCACCTGTAGTTGAAACGATGCTTTCCAGGTAGGTAAAGGAGGTTGTTTCTTTCAGGTTCCTCCCATTTATGCTGATTCTTGTCTGTTGTAGTTGACGGATAATAAGATGGTGAATATCAAATGTAAGTCAGCTGCAATTATGTATCCATAGTGATCAAAGAATCATTGCTATTGACAAAATTAGTGTTTTTTTTAAGGTAACATCGAATCACTGGCATCGGAATTTCAAAAGTTATTTGCAAATAGATGTTTAATAGATTATAGTCCAAAATAAATGTGGTAATCTGAAAAATTGTAATATTAAATTGAACACCAATATTACATTGTGGATGATTATAAATGGCAACGAATATATGGTAATAAATTCTCATGAATCATGTTCAGATTAAATTCTATCCATATTGATTACATACACGAGATGGATGAATGATCATGTCGGGAGGAGAGAAAAATTTTGGGGTAGAAGGTAATGTGCACCGTATGTGAGTCAGCGTGTAAGTTAACAACTACGTTTAAATAGGAAAACAAAAGGTTAGTTAATACAAGTGTAATGACAAGGGGTATGGGAACTTATATGTACTAAATGGAGGGCTACATCAAAAAAGGTTGACATAATAAGGAAAGCAGGCCAGGGCACTAATATTGGTTGGCTATTTTTCTTCTGCACACAGAGGACAGGTTGTTTTAGGAGAATTGCAATAGCCTATGCTGTTTGGAGTATTCGGTACCTGGATGCATTTGGCGATGTATTCGGTATCCGACAGATGATGGAGAAGGATTCTTCAATACTAACCTCGTGGACATTTTGGACAAGATGGTCTAATATCGAACCGTTGATGGTTTTCACTACAACCTTATTTAGCCACACTGGTTGGTGTTCTCGAGTAAGAAATATCAAGTTTCTGGATCAACGGCAAATATGACTCGCTCCACAAGCATAGTTGAATCGGTAGATACACGAAGAGGTAGCTAGTCTAGGTACTTTATCTTTCAATTGAGAAATCACAATCGGTTGTGTAGAAAATAGGATTTGTAGTTTACCAGCATTAGAAGTACTTTGAATGGATTTCTTTAACGTGTTAGTAATTATTTCACTAGGTGCGTCACCCTTGAACACATAAAGGCTTCTTATTTACAGATAGAGAATAGTCCTTTACTGCTTTCTTGGTCATGTGTTTCTTGATGAACTTTTCTCGATAGCTGTTTTCAATTAAGGTGTCATATATAATCCTAAGTCTGTCTTCATTTACGTCTTCAAAAAATTTCTCTCTGACACTGTAGTTGAAGGTTCTTATTAAACTTTTCTTGTTCTGGAGAGGAACACAATTAATTTCTGATTACGTCTGTGGGTTCGAATGCCATTTTTATTCCTGCTTTGTTATTGTGACTTCATCAAATAGTATATGTTATATGTGACGGATAACAGTGAAGCTTCTATTGCAAGTTATGTTCTTCCCACAACTGTCTGACTGTCTGTTATTAACGTAAGACATTGCACAGATGTGCAGCAGTTTAAGCCGCCACACTCTATCCATGTAGCACACAAAGCAAGAGAAGAAAGAAGAAATGCATAATAGAGACAGTAGACAGAGATATGAGACAAAAGGAAATGTAATAGCGAAAAACAATAGTTTCATTGGAAATTATGAGGCACAAGGAGTGGATGCACCTGCGCCAGCCATTGAAAACGATTTTGAGCCATATCACCAATTGTCTTCAGCCATTGGTTTCTACTGTCCCTAGAACCCCAATCAGGAAGCCTATATCTTCCTACGTGTCTGACCTAGACTAACTGTTGTGGATTTGTTTGACCACCACTATCTCTTTTCCAGTCTGACCCCCATGTAAGCTACCATTGCCCGTCGAGGAAGGCGATGGATGGCTAGGCGTGCGTAACACATATCCTAACTATCTCAGTCGATGTAGCTTTACAGCCTCGTCGACTGATTTCCCCTCCTTACCTAGCACTCGACGCCTAACCTCAATATTGCTCACCCTATTACACCACTTAACAGGGGAGGTAGAACACAGGCACCTATGATGAAAGACAGCTAGCTAGGTAACCATGTCTTCCACTTTCAATGGGCGTATTTCATAGCCCATGAAAGAGGCCCAACGGATTGATGAACAGTACACCCGCCCTTTGGTCGATAACCGGATATCACGTCTACACCACAGATGGCGTAAACTGACATATACGAAACTAGCCTTCTGTATCCGTGCTGAGATTTCGTCAGTCATCAACCGGTTGGCACTGGCTGATGCAACTTCCTAAGTAACTGAAGTAGTAAACACACTCTACCACTTCACGCCCTCTTTCTAAGCTAGGAGTCAATGCAGTCCAGTCCTGTAGCATCATCTTACATTTGGCGGGAGAGAATTGCATGCCAAATATTAGCAGATCGCAGCTGAAGGCATTCAGAAGACTCTGCATTTTTTTTAGCGTCTTCACCTAGAAGAACTATATCATCTGTATATTCTAAATCAAAGAGATTAATCCCTGGTCAAAAGTCAATCCCTGAGTCGCTGAAGTCACTTCACATAACTCATAGGATGGGCTTAACTGTGCATGTGTTAACAGTCATAAATATACAAATCAGAAGACTTTATCTTTTTCGACTACACCGTAACTTGTATCCAGGATTAACTTCTCTTAATTAATCACTCAGACAAACAGATAGTGATGTTTAAATCAAGAAATGAAAGGGAGAAACTGACAACCACTTATGAATCAGTCAACCTCCGTGAACAATATATCTACAAATCAATACACATTAAGGCGACTGGGGAAAAGAGTCTAGAATAAAAAATGACTGACCGGTATTTGAAATTATTTAAAATATATTTGTCGAATTAGGCTTTTTCTGTAAGAAATGGCTACCAATAAAACAATACACAACTCCAAAATAGTGACTCTTCATGGAACTTACTCATTATGATTTTGTTCTACCAAATTCACAAATTCTTCGAAATCTTGAGATGACTTTTTAAAATTTTCAAGTTCTTCTGTAATCCAGTCTTAAAGGCAGGAATAAAATAGTGGTACAGGTGAAAATATTTGAACCTGGTAGACAATACGAATCAATTTTTATACATCCTCCTGGCTTAGACAAAATATGCTAGACAAATAAAATTCATTTTGGAATGTACATTGGAGGTAGTATCTATATGTATTTATCTTATTTCATCATATAGTTTGCATAATAATATTTGCAAAGGGGGGTATTCTCAGTGGCCACAATGTACCAATTGTGTGTTTAGATAATGACGGAAATTACAGTACAAACCACGATAACCAGCATTATACAGCAACAAGAGATTTTAATTTCATCCATTCTTCGAAATCAATATATCAAGACGTGAAAAATAATCAAGCTTCCAATAACTTGGTATTCACCAGGAGCATCAATAGCAGAAGAGAATGAAAACTTATACGAATTCCTCCACTCTCCTAAACATTAGGTTTTAAATTCGAAGAATGAAACTTCTACAGAAGATAAGCTTGTTAGAGTTGGCATACCTTGTAGTCAGAGCTTATTTTATTAATAAATGATCAAATATGTGGTCTAAACTTTTATGATTAATGTTCTCTTAGGTTGCGAGTGAAACACAAGGCTTTGACAGCACATCTCCACTTCAAGCTGTTCTCTGAAGTCATTTTTAGCTGGCTCCATTATTATATTATTATTTCCTTTAATTCCCAGACGAACATAGGGCTTCAGCCACACGTCTCCATTGCGTTCGGTTCTCTGTTAACGTTTTTACCTGGCTCCAGGTCTGTCCAGATGCTTTCATCTCCTCTTCACATGATCACCTCCAAGTCACTCTTGGACGACCAACTCGCCGCTTCCCTTTCGGGTTCCACTCGAGCAATGGCTTGTCTAGTGATGTCAATTGATGGTTTCCTCAGAGTATGGCCAATCCATCTCCATTTCTTCCTGCTTATTTGTTGCCCAATCGGTTCCTGGTTGGTTCGCCCAACGCCAGAGATCACTGTTGCTGATCTTGAGTACTGAGCGAAGACAGCTGTCAATGAAGGTCTGTAGTTTGTTTGAGATGCTCTTTATGACGCGCCAAGTCTCTGATCGATAAAACAGCACTGAATTCACTTTGGAGTTGAAAATCCGGATGTTATATTTCATGCGGAGGAGTGCTGTTGCCCTCCAAACAGAATTGAGGGTAATGAAAGCTTGCCTTGCTTTCCCGATCCTCACTTTGATATCCTAGTCAGTTCCGTCCGCCTGTAGTTGAAACGATGCTTCCCAGGTAGGTATTAAGGAGGCTACTTCTTTTAGATTCCTCCCATTTATATTGATTACTGTCTGTTGTTGTTGTTGCTGCTGGCCAGGAATCTTCATCACCTCTGTTTTCTCTATGTTTACCTGAAGTCCTACCTTCTCTGGAAGCTTCTTTTGCCAACTTGTTGCTTTTCACTTGCATATCTTCCAGTTTGTGGGAAATCAGACATATATCATCGGTAAAGTCTGATTTCCCACAAACTAGAAGATATGCAAGTAAAAGCAACAACTTGGCAGAAGAAGCTGGCCTCATGATTGTCCATAGGCTCTCATTTCCCCTCCACACGATCTTGTCCAGGTCACTCTCAGACATGCGGCTAACTCATCATTTCCAATACAATTTCGATTCGAAGATCTGCACGACGCCTGGTATCACATAATGGTCTCCTCAACGTGAATCAGATAAATCTCAATTTTTCTCAGAATAATTATTTGGTAGTTGTTTTTTTTCTCGTTAATTTGCTGCTAGAGTTCCGTGTTGCTAATCCTCTCCGACCGGCTATCTGATCATCAGTATGGGGAGCCAAGGCGTCTGTTGAAAAAATCCAAATCCTGTTATTTATGCTAAGTGCAGCAGATTTCCACACTGATTTCAGATTAATGAAGGTCTGTCTCGCTTTTCTGATCCTTCCCACCTATAGTTAAGATGGCGCTGCTTAAATAAAGAAGAGAAATAATCATCTAATAATATTCTTTAACATATATTTCAAGACACTTGACGAATATTACCTAAATGTACACCATATTCCACTAAATTTGGTATTTGATCCGCTACTAATTCCACAAATTGTGACCAATTATCTAGCAAACATTGAGACAACCTCAATAGAGACAGCGGAAGACGAGGAGCACAGGCAAACTGAATAATCAAGGTTAGAATTAAACGACAGATTAGTCGATGTCGAGGAAGATGACCAGTGATTGGTGAAGCAGGATCAGTGAATCTCTCTACGACATCAACAACATCATAAGCTGTATGATACACTGATGCGTTGTATAATCCATCATCCTAATTAGGGAAAACAAAAAGAAAACTGATACGAAGTACTGAGTGACTATAATTTGTAGTAAAGAAAATAGTTTTAATTGAATTTGAGATTTTCCCGTCGACTTATTGACATGTCGGCTTCTTGTGTAGATGCTTCGACGATGTCTAGGCATTTAATTAGCATTACATTGGTGGATGGTGACTAGCAGTGGAATCCAGGAATTAAAATTAATATGACCCGTCGCACAAGAGGTGGCTCTTGTGGTCTAGTGGATAACGATTTGGCGTTTGAAACTATGGGCACTGGGTTCGAGCCTCGGTGGGAACATCATCACTGACTAGGGAATGAAGGTACATCCAGATGACGAGTCCCAAATAGGACGAAATGCGCATCCTGGATTCCACTTCTAGTCACCATCCACCAATTAAGTAAAGAAAATAACAAAAAGGGACATTTCGGTTTACATTAGATTAGCTTTTAACGTGTAGTAAGGAAGATCAGATTCTATATGGCTGCAATTAGGGAAAAATGAACAATGACTAATTTTAATAAAAGCGTAAGCAAAGGGTAATTTAACTAGTCACTGACTACAAGACGACGTTTTCTGGAGTTCTAGTGACAGGTCTTGACCGATGGAGTCCATCAGATTGAGTGTAATGACGAGTACGCGACGATGATATTAGCTGACGGTGGAACAGTAAAATCGAAAATTGATGGAAGTTACAGCTGATGGGCCACTGAATTCCATCCGAGCGGTTGAATAGTCAGCAAGCTAGCCTCGCGAACTCAAGGTCCTGAAGTCGGTCCCTGAAGGGTTGACAGTTGTACACTTTTGAAAAGTCCAAGACTAGGCCAAAATAGCTGTCCAGTTCTCTCTCCTTTAGTTTTCAAAGGTTCTCTAACTGATATCAATCCGTGGTCAAACTTCAATTCACAAATTTGTTTAACAACTCAAAATAAACATCAGACAGATATGTAACCACGCGCGAAATATTATTCATATAAAGGAAATTTTATTTTCGAAGTGAAATAAACATATCTGCTTGGTAAGACGTTCAGTATATATAATAACTTATTCAATAAAAATACCGGTAACTAACAAAGAGTAAATACTGTATTCACTGAAAATCATACAAATCAGAAAGAGTGTACTCAAGACAAAAAGTAGATCCCTGTAAACAAAGTCAGTTTCCTTTTTGAGTAATTTCATTAAATGACACATCTTATTGATGCTGCAGAAACACCGTCATAAAGCCAGGTACTTTTTGAATTGATGATCTTCTTCGCATGAAATGAACTCATTACGATATACCTACTATATATATGTATATATAATCACAGGACAACTCTAACAAAAATTGAGATTTGCAGTTGTTTTGATGATACCACTGCAGAAAAAACAACATAATGAGCGAAGAAATGTATTCCGTCTCAATTAGTTACCTATCATCGGCTGGTTCTACACTAATATTTATAGTTTTGTTTCACATCAAAATTTTTACCGATCAAGTTGCTATTTTAGTTCATCAGTTTTAGGTATGAGAGGGAGCGTAAAATTAAAAGGTTAAAGGTCATCAAAACAATTAACTAGTTGATATTAGTAACAAGATATCTATGCTTTGAAGGGGTTGAGAATTAATTACTGAATTCAAGAGAAGTTGATTCTTAGGTTTTAGCGACGAGTTATTACAAAAATAAAGAAATTTGTAAAATAACAATGATGACTAAGAAGAATAGCCAATTTTATTACTTTGTTTGTATTTTACGTAATTCTTCTGAGTCATCTTATTCTTTTCATCATGAGCTGACATTAGTTAGAGAACCACTGGAAAACCTAGGAGTACTGGACAGCTGTTTCGTCCTAGTTTGGGGCTCTTCATCAGTACGCACACGACGAGATTCGAACCCAGGAGCTTCCGGTCACAAGGTGAGCTCGTATACCATTAAGTCACTGGCACCCGATCCAGTGAAACAGCTGTCCAGTACTCCCAGGTTTTCCAATAATTCTCTAACTTATGTCAGGTCATGATGAAATCCTGTAACCAATCAAATCCCTACAAACCAACACTTGCATATTAATCATCTTATTCTTCTTAGTCATCATTGTTATTTTACAAATTTCTTTATTATGTAATAACTCGTCGCTAAAACCTAAGAATCAACTTCTCTTGAATTCAGTAATTAATTCTCAACCCCTTCAAAGCATAGATACCTTGCTACTAATATCAACTAGTTAATTGTTTTGATGACCTTTAACCTTTTAATTTTACGCTCCCTCTCATACCTAAAACTGATGAACTAAAATAACAACTTGATCGGTAAAAATTTTGATGTGAAAATACAACAAAACTACATATGAGAGAAGAGCCAGTGTATGATGATGAACTAAATGAAAAGGAACATATTTCTTCTCTCAGTCTGCTGTTTTTTTTTCTAATTGCGTAAATGGCGATTTGCAAATTATTGAGATCCCACTTTTTGATGTGGTTTTGTTCTCTGAGCTGGATGGTTAGTTTGCGAAGCTTTCATCACCTTACTGGGTGACATCTTCAGCGCACACTTCAAATTGAAGTATGCGTCACCCAGTAAGGTGATGAAAGCTTCGCAAACTAACCATCCAGCTCAGAGAACAAAACCACATCAAAATCATCCACCTGAGCTACAAATCTTCTCTATCATATCTAGATCCCACTTTATTAGCATAAGATTATCATGCTTAGGCAGAGCCATAATGTGAAACTATTAATTAAACAAAGGCCAAAGACAGAATGGCACATGATACTACAGTGACATAGAAGTCAGAACACACTTTGTACCATAACGAGCTAATATATTTGTTGAAGACATTTTTGAATTTCCTACTGCTTGATTTTATTGGATAAAAATGTCCAATCTATGTTGCTATGACGGCTCTTAGCACGTACATTTCATGATGTCTAAACTTTAACACAATCTTATTTGGTTAATGAGGATGAGCATTTGAACAGACTACTTGTATCTCTATTAAATGATGGTGTTCACAACAAGACTCGAACTCAACGGGTGTTGCGCAAAGATTAGCTATCGTATCGCAACGCATAACACTTATACGTTTGAAGTGCCAGGAGTTTGATTAAAGATATTTTATAACTTTGAATGACACGGAAATTTATAATGAAATCCTGTTAACCACAGGTTTACATAGACTTATTCAGATAGCAATATATCAGCTTACTGGCCAAAATTCTGGATACGTAGATGGAATTCCCAAACGATAAGCAAAAGGTATATGATCTGATCCACCGCCAAGAGGAGATACACTGTAAAAATATCGATTTTAAAATAATTCAAAATAAAATTTTTATAGCTGTTTTGTAAGGATTAATTTCGTTTTTATGAGTTGATCACAGATTGATATCCAGTTAGAGAACCACTGAAAACCAGGGAGTACTGGACAGCTGTTTCATCCTAGTTTGGGTATCGTCGGCGGCTGAATGGTATTCGAGCTTGCCTTTTAACTGAGAGGTCCTGGGTTCGAACCGTGGCGGTAGGCGCGTACTGCCGATGATTGCCAAACTAGAATGAAACAGCTGTCTAGTACTTCCAGGTTTTCAGTAGCTCTCTAACTGATATCAATCCGTGATCAACTCGTAAAAAATAAAATTTTAATTAAAATTATAATAAACTTCGTAATTTTTGTTGATGATAGTTTTCTGAGCACTGGCATTCCCACCACTTATGTGCATCAGAAAAAATGAAGTCATTTGTGAAAAAACTAACACTTAAATAATGACGAATCTCTCGAAGAAAGTAGATTATATGGATATATAGATTATATGAGGTCAACCTCGTAAACGACCTAGTACATCTGAGAGTGAACAGACTTCGGTCTTCTCACGAAATATGCTCATGTTGCCACACATTCAAAGCCTCTAAAAAGTGTCTCATTCAATTCATTCATGCGGCGGGAATGTTGCTCACAAAAGTGAAAGGGCAAATGAGAACATCTGATACTTAAAACCGGACGTCACCCAACGAGAGTTGGAAAACCGTGATTCAAAACCTGTGGTTCACATGAGTCTAGAATCAGAAAAGGATCAAACAGAGTATGAACATATCTCAGCCACCGGGACTCGTGCGGACTTAGCTATTGACGCTGTCCCACTAAACTGTGAATCAGACTTCAAGTCAAAGACTCGCGATGGGTGTGGTCATTTACGACAACCACTTGTTTAAGTCTAGGCGTCTAGTTGGCTTCCCAGCCCTCACAAAAACGATGAGATTTGGTGTGGAGCATTTCTTGGTGCTCATAATGTACCAAGTATGTGTTCGAATAATATACAAATAATCATATAAACAAAGGTACAATGTGCATCCTCGCTTATTTGAACTCTTCTTCTGTTTAATTATTACTAACTGTCCAAAATGCAGTCCCCGTGGAGAATTACGAGTCTATAAACTATTGACATGATGTTTCGCAATATGCATGCATATTGAGATGGTTAGTTGTAGAATAAATACTGGAAAGAAGAGATGAAACATAGAACCACACTGTCTAAACAGCAACTACAAAAGAATAATAGGCTTCTTCATATCGACGTAAACAAACTCTGACGTTAATTGCGTGAAAGATTTTCTGCACAGAAAATGAAATCAAATCTTAAGACTTTCCAGCTTCTAGCAAACTTCACCACAATCCTAGATCCTGTAGTGGTATCACCCGTCAAAACCTAACCGCAAATTACTGTCTCATCGCATATTGAAACAGATGATAAATAGAAAGGCCTCGGACTAGTCAGATGTGACGCAAATCACTGGAATCATTACCTTCCAGACATGATTACTTATGCAAATTTATTATAAAATCTTGTGACAGCTCTAACAAGTTAATGGTTTTAGGCTACATGTAACTTAATTACTACTGAGTGATAAAAGTCTTACATGTGAACAATAATTCAATCTCGCGAAAACGTTAAACTGTATCTCTGGGACTGTGGTGTTCCATTGGAATGGGAAAAGGTTATCTGGGTTGGTGAGAACATCAAACACTACTGTGTGCAGACTAACGACGAAAGCATGACTGAAAAATGCTATCAGCACGAATACAGACTAAAGCAAAGCTGGAAAAAGAATGAAATTAGTGATAAATTAGAGAAAAATAACATTCCTGGGTGATAATCTTTTGAAACAAACGTAACTGGCAGGAAGGAAAATAATCAGTCAATAAAGTAGACCTTAGCATTGTCATACAACAGATACTGATTTGAAAATATTCCACAAAGATCAATAGTGCGTGACGTATGACCCTGTTCATATTGACATACTGTAACAAATCTAAACGCTAAGAAGAAGGAAAGATTTTCTATAAGTAAAAACGCAGTTTTCTGTTCAGCGAAGAAATTTCTTTTCAACGACTTCATTTTCAAGCTGTACAGTCGTATTTATATTACAGAAAAAGGTTATTAAGTGGCACTAAATAATTGCTCAGTCAATGTACGTATATATGTGATAAAAGTTATAAGGGGTAGAGTTGAAGTGGATAAATTACAAAAATATGAAAGATTGTTCTATAACAAAAATGTCAAGTGTTGTCTAAAAATTTTGAAAATTAGGAGTACGATTACGATAAGAATGAAGATGTGAAGTGAAGTGGAAAGAATTCAAGTGGTAAAATAAAATAAAAACTAGAAAGAACATTATTATGACCAAGGTAAAGAAAGGGGTTTGACAAAACGCTTTTGAACACATAATTTAGGTTTCTGTTCATGTATAGCTAAAGCTTCGGCTATGCATAAGTGAAGAAAACGTAAACTTTTGGATCGATTCGATTTTGCCATGTATATAACTTTGAAAGATGAATCACGTGGGGCTAAATGACCAGACTCTAACAGGTGATCACAAATAGACGACTTTTCTACGTTCGCCTTTCATTAACCAAACCGGATAGTGTTCAGCTACACGTTTTCGGAGATTACGCTTACAACGTCCAATATAAACAGCTCCACAAGAGCAAGTAAAAGAGTAAATGCACATAGATGTGGACAAAAGCGGTAATCTATCCTTGACGCATTGTCTGATCATATTTCGGCTGGTAAAAACTAGTTGCAGGTCAGCTGCAGGAAAAGTGCGTTTAACACATTTAGATAAACGATTTTTAATCAATTCTGAAATGGTGTCACCTTTGAATGCAAGACTCATAAACAGCTTTTTCTTTGGTACTGTGACTTGTCTCGGGGCAGATTCTTTCTTGATGTTACGTTCAATGAACCTTGTGGGATAACCATTGTTAAGGAGATTTGATCGAAGGTTATCTAGTTCCCTATCGATTGTCTCTGCAGAGCAGATTTTACGAATTCTGGAGCATAAGGAATGAATAAGATTTCTCTTTCTCCCTAAAGGTACCCAACTGTGTACTGCCCAGTGAATGTTGGCTTTCGGTAAATCGACCTTAGAAGCGTTCCATTCTCTCTTCTATCTAGCTTAACATCAAGGAAGTGAAACGAAGAATCCGACTCTTCTTCGATCGTGAAAAGCAAAGATGGGTGAGAACCATTAAATATTCTAAGAAGTTCGGCAGTTGAAGTGTTTTCATCACATACAATGAAGGTATCATCAACATATCTTTTATACATAAACAGACTATCGATGGTTTCCTTTAGTGGGCCATTCTCTAAGCTTGCCATGAAAACGTCCGCTAAGAGCGGTCCTAAAGGAGACCCCATGGCGACTCCATCTCTTTGGTTGTAGATGACATCATTAAATCTAAATTGCACATTCAGTGTGCATCTCAATAGTAGTTGTTTAAGATAATCAGTTGGTAAGCCAATGTTCATGCTATTTTAATCAATATACTCGCATAGATAGCAGATAGTGTCTACTAGTGGTACATTTGTGAACAATGAACAAATATCTAACGAAATCATATGCTTACCAGTCACATTAATTTCATCAACACAACTGACGAAGTCAAAAGTGTCGGAAAGACTATGTTTACATAGATTTAATCTAACTGGTTCTAGAATTCTGCGCAAGCCATTTAGCGGTAGAGTGATACGCTGAATAAACATTTTCTAATCAAACAAGTTTGCTGTTATCAAATGCTAATCACAGTGCCCATTATCTTTTCGGTGTTTATTTACTGAAGCATGAAATATATGGTCTTATCAAGAGGTATTCATTATTGGTTTGAAAATAAACAATGAATAATGTAGGTGGACTGACAAAAAGACTAGAACAACAGTTAGACCTACAGAAAAAGAAATAGCAAGGACAGGATTTCAAGTGAACACAGAGGTGATGAAAATACCTAACTCACAGGAACAACAACGAGAATTAGTCACTATCAACTGCAGAAATCTAAAGCAAATTCACTTCTCTCACTTATCTAGGCAGCATAGTTTCAGTCACAGGCAGCACGGATAAAGATGTCAAAGTCAGGAACGAAGAGACTAGACAAACCTTCATAATTTGAAATCAGTGTAGAAATCTATAACATTCAGTATAAACAGCAGGATTCCGATTTTCAGCATTAATGTCAAGTCATTTCTTCTATATTTGGATGTGGTTGTGTTCTCTGAGCTGGATGGTTCATCTGCGAAGCTTTCATCACCCTACTAGGCGACATCTTCAGTGCATACTTCAATTTAAAGTAAACTTTTAGATTTCTCCACGAATTTATTAGTCATCCCTCCTGATGACTCTGAACAAAAACAACCAATCACGTTCAAGGCCATCAGGGGAAATGACTAACAAACTCGTGGGGAAATCTAAACGTTCACTTCAAATTGAAGTATGCACTGAAGATGTCGCCTAGTAGGGCGATGAAAACTTCGCAAATTAACCATCCAGCGCAGAGAACACACCCACATCCAGATTATCCACCTGAGCTACAAATGTTCTCTATCATTTCTTCTATATTGTTCAGAAAATTGCAGGATACGCCACAAAAATCATGTTGAACAGGTTACGCAGCAGAATGTTATCAATATTCGGCTTCATTTCTTCCCATATATCAGATGTTCGTTCAGAAATGATTAGCAACCAGGAAATCTCGCAACAAAACAACCAAGAGCTTATACTGAAAGAAATAGAGATGGATTGAGTGAACGCTAAGGAGACCACTGGGTGATACCACATGCAATGCAGGCCCTTGAGTAGAACCCGAATAGGTAACGACACATCGGTCACCCAAGTCTGATGTGAAGGATATCGTGTCAGAAGAGGATAAGAGCTTATGAGCAGCCATAAAGCCCGATAAAGACGACTGCAGAGAACTGGATGAGATTTAGATACCCTGTTGAAGCCCTATGTTATACGCAGAATCTAACAGGGATAGTAATAACAATCATATAATTGGGCAAATTAATTTCTTATGAACGGAAACTGACTTAATCCTTCGAAATTACAATATGAACTTTTTAAATAAAATATATACATGTATCTTTAAAACAGTATAAAGCTTACATGGGTTCATTACGATCAGTGGATCCATCATTCAACCATTCATCATACAGTGACTGAATATTCTCCGGTGGATCAATTTGAACTAGTTTCGCAGCTTTATAAAAACTATCAACTAACAGTCGATCTGTTCGAGCAGAAAATGTTTTATGACCCTTAATTGGACAATCTGAGTTGATATAAACAACACATCTGGATAGTAGTTCATATTCCTGACTTTGTGCAAAATGTGTGGAACCCAACAGAGAGAATTCTTCACCATCCCAAGAAGCAAGGATTATGGTACGACGAGGTCTAAAACCTTTTTTGGAAAATAGTGATTGAATAGGAATTAGCACATTAATATACAATGGTCAGTAACAACATGTACATTAAATCTAATGCACAGAACTGTCTTAACTACCCAGCTACGATTTAATTACTGACAGTTTACATAAATAAATCTTTCCTGAAATAAAGCAAAATATTTGAGCCGTTATAGTACAGTTAACAGGTACTTGAATTCAAACTATGACCATTATCTTTAGTGAGGAGTTTACTCTTTAAGCTAACCCTGTCAAGTTACCACTCCGAAGTCCCTCATTTTCTTATGTTTATTGAATCTGTTAAAGATATCCCGAATTATGGAAGTTATTACGAGTTTGACCATAGATTGATATCAGTTAGAGAACCACTGAAAACCAAGGAGTACTGGATAACTGTTTCATCCTAGTTTGGAAATCATCGGCAGTACGCACCCATCCCACAGGGGGTTCGAGACCACGACCTTCCGGTTACAAGGCAAGTTCGCATACCATTCAGCCACTGGGACCCGATTCAATAGCTCATGAATTCTAACTTCTACCAATTCGTGATTTAGCGCGACCACCAATTAATCTGATGCTCGCTAATGACTTTCTGCAGGATGGAGTTTCCCGGAGTTCTAGTGAGAAGTCGTGACCAGTGAGGTCCATCCAGTCGGGAGTGAGGATGAATTTCCCACCTATGACATTGGTTGGGACTGTACTGCCGATGATTCCCAGAAACTAGGATGAAACAGATGTCCAGTATTCCTCTGTGGTTTTCAATGTTTCTCTAACTGATACCAATCTGTGATCAAACTCGTAAAATCAAATCTAATCCTTACAAACCAACTCTTGAAGATCGCAGAAGTTATGCTGGTGACATTATAATCACAGATGATAATTCTAGTCGCGTAGTTTAAGTTAAATAAATGAAGTGTAGGATAGCATAATAGTTAAAGGAGTAGAAGAGACACAGAGAGAGATAAAACACTGATTAGTCGACTATTAGATCAATAATCTATCTGGCCATCTGTTTATTTACACAAAGCCTACATGGTGCTCATTTACAAAGACTTAACAAACATACACAGCTAATACGCTGAGAGGAAAGAGGAGAATGCTAACAGAAATATCGACTAAAAATAATTACCCAGAGGAATTCATAACCTAATATGAATTGATTAAAAGGTTCACGATTTATTTGTTCACCATTCCTCGAAGAAAGACACATTCATCTAGCTCTCATACCTGTTTGACCCAAGCGGTTTCATACTTATACACATAATGAACATTATAGCGAATTTCTAGAACACTGAAAACTCCATCCCTCTCACTAGTCATGGAACGACTTCGTTGTTTAAAAGGCCTTTTATTTAGATAAGCTTTAATTTACCCGAAAATAGAACTTCGACAACCGGACAGCCCCCACCCAACAAAAGCATTCACGTCAAAACATTCCACCACAAAGAGTTTGCTACAAGCAAGATGGAGGATTCCATAACAAAGAGCGATGAAATGCAACGATTAACACCTTCAGATACAAATAAGAAAATAACCAAAATACTATAAGGTAGTGAGAACTTAACAATGACGAGCGAGTTGACCATAGCAGTCAATATACTTGGTACTGCAAAAAGTCTATGAGGGAGATAGGAAATCAATGACAAGCTGGTCTAACTGGCAAAGCTAACGAAAAGGAGAAAGATGAGTGTACAGCTAATATTTATGACATCCGGTATCGAACAGTACACCTCTGGGAATGAAAATACGCTTAATTTCAGTGTGTCACCAGGATCTCTGTAACAAACCTAATGATTAACAATGAAACTCACAGTTCATAAAAACCAAAGAAACTCAGCGCTTGTAAAACATGTGGAAACAAGATACGGTGAACTCATTAAGGTCTTGCAAGATATTTCTGACCCTACCAGCAGACAAGGCGAGAAACACCAGTGTTATAAATAAAACAAACTGTGTCGAAAAAGCACAGGATATACTTGATAACAAAAATGTCGGCTGGATAATGGAAAAAAGAGATTTCCTTCGAAGATAATTCACTTTCGATTCCAATCATCTTGAACATAGTCGAAGAGCAAATGAATATTTTATGCTATTGCGTGTATCTTTATAGTACGCAAAAATCACTGAAAGAAAGAACATGATTGCCTTACAGAGCATGGGCTTAGAAGCATCAACGCAATTTCTAAAATCATAGCTATCCACAAGATGTAAATAAATATAAAGTTTACAGTCCACTCAAAAAGAAGAAGAAGAAGAGGAAGAATCTTATGACGACACTGACAAAGTTACGTGAATATGTATAGAAAACCCTGCGTCGACGGGTAAGTACGCTTGTCTCTTTTTACTTCTGAAATATGAGCGCAACTTTGTAAAATGTTTGGTTCATAAACTACAGTAATTTCTTCAAAAGAGTGACTTCAAGAAGAGCTCAAGGCTATCAATGAAATATTTAGTAGAAATGGTTATCCAGAAAAATCTATTGATAAAAATACGAATTTACTGCCAAGGCAAGTCAGTATGCTGACAGATCCAAAGAATTCCTTGTTCTAAAAACAGCAGCTTCTTGGTGACAACCTCAGTGAACTAATGACGCAAAAGCTAAACAACACAGTAAAAAGAGTATTCAGCGTAGTAGAGGTATATCGTCTCTCCACAGTCACTCCAAATATACTTTCGAGAATTGAGGGTAAACTATCTAGTTTCACCTTCCCTTAGTACGTCTACCAGTCTGACTGCTTTTGCGGAGACAGTTACATTGAACGAACAATTAAGCGTGTTCATTATCTGATTTCCAAACAACATAATTCACGATTAAGCAAGGGACGAGCAAAGTCTCTTCGTTGTGGATGACGAGCTTAAAGTCAATACTGATAAAGCACTTAAAGTTGTCTCTTACATTCAGACTAGGTGTCATTTTGCATTCTAAGTTCACCTTTAACATAAAGCTGAGGCTGTCAGAACTCACCAGGAGAAGCCAAGCCCATGTGTTCAGGAGAAATTCATGCGGTCACTTCCATCACCTTGATTATCGATACACGAATGTCAAAAACCAACCATTTCCCTCTCCCCCCTAACCATTTACAGGTTAGCATTGTCCTAAGTAGTTTTTACTTCTGCCTACCTCATCTGTAACTAATTACTACGTAAGCAAATTGGATACCGATTTATTTCTTATATATATATATATATATATATATATATATGAGTGAAGTCAAATACAAGGTCCTGGTGATTAGTATTATTCACCTGCGTTCCGGGTGAGACATATGGCTTCACCAGTACATTTCCTTTTCACCCTGCAGTCCTCTTTAGCTGACTGCACAACAGACCATACACTTTCATCGCATTTTCATACGATCCCCTCCATCTCACTCTTAGAAGTCCAGCTCATCATTTACCATTCTTTTTCCACCTAGAAATCTGATGTGTTATGCCACTCAGTGGCCTCCTATGGGTGTGTTCAACCGAATTCCATTTCCTTCGACATATTTGTTGTCCCAATAGGCTGTTGGTTGGTTCGTTGACAGAGTTCCTTGCCACTAGGCCTTTCTAACCAGACATCTGATCTTCGGTAAAGAGTTCAGGCAGGTTTCGATAGAAGTCGACAGCAGGCTGTTGCGGATGCTTTTAATGACTCGCATAACAAGTCCCTGAACCAAACAGAAACAATCAGTGACTTGACATTAGGATTGAAAATTTGAGTCTTGTTCTTTATGGCTAGTGCAGTAGACTTCCATACTGATTTTAGAGTGAATGACTGACTGGTTTCAAAGTAGAACTTTGTACAGATGTGCAGCAGTTCCAGTTGCCACACTTCATATAGCACATAAAGCAAGAGAAGAGAGTAAACAGAGAATCCAAAAAGGAAATGAACAACAGAAATACGAGGCAAAAAGAATAGTAATTTGAAACAACAATAGAATTTTATCGGATATTATAATCTATGAAGAGTGAATGTGTCAGCGCCATTGAGAAGGATTTTGTGCAATATCACTGTTTTTCTCCAGCCCTCATAGGTTTTTACCACCCCGAGGACCCCAACCAGGAATTCTACAGCTCCCTACATGATTGGCTTAAACTAACTGTTGTGGATTTCATTGACTGATGCTATGTCTCGATTTGACCACCACCAGCTCTTTTCAAACCTGATCCAATGTCAGCTAACATTGCCCGTCGAGGAAGGCGATGGATGGCTAGGCATACGTAACAAAGAGTAATGAAGTCCTGTCTTGATTTTCCGATGTTGACTGGCTTCGACATCCTCATCCATGCTGTATATGTAGTACCTGAAAGCGGTAGCTTCCTTTAAATTTCTCCGGTTGATCGTGATTGACATATGTTTTTGCGGATTGGGTATCTCCAATACCTTTGTCTCCTCTACGCTCACCTAAATACCTGTCTTCGTGGCCTGTCTTTTCCGTTCACTTGCTGGTTGAGTCCTACAGATCAAGTTTATATAACATTAGATATAAATTATTCACGATCTTCCAGTATCCTCTCGTCGGTCCAACGTATGCCCTTTTTTCCACTCCCCATGGTCAGATGCATGATCCAGTCCATTAAAATCATGAATGTCATCAATGATAGTGAGCAGTCTTGGCTAAACAAAAAGCAAATATTTCTTCGCTCAATCGATTCTGTCTTCTAAGTGTATGAGAAACGCTAAAAACTCAATCTCTAGATTGCGCGAAAAAGTCAGTCATAAGCGAAGCTATATCTGAGACTAACTGATTGCATTCTATTCGATAAAAATGCCTAATTAAGACAGGATATCTTTCAAAATAATCATAATTAATTATGATGTTAACAAAAACACAATTATTTTTTCTAAAAATTGTACTTTCAGATTTTTAGCATATACGCTTATTGTAAATTGTCTTACCATCACGATAGGCTTCACCTAGAATTTGAGCAATCTGTTGTAAAATCACCATACCTGATCCTGGATCACATGCACCTTGAACCCAAGCATCATGATGATTACCCATAATCACATACTGATCTGCTTCGTTGCTAGTGGATGTCATTTCTCCAGGCATAATCCCAATTACATTGCATAACTTGACAGGATTTGTAGAGACTTCATTATTGACAATTATTTTCAAACAGCTGTAGAAATAAAATGCATATCAGTTGATTAAGAACTCATCTGGTTTTATTCACGATATTGGTTATCATGTATTCTACTCCGAAATATCATTTAAGACAGCAATAATAAACTTGAACTTCAAAAGAACAAAGGAACCAGAGAGAAAAAAAACTGCTGAAAGCACAACATTTTGACAGCTAATTAATATGGTGTGCTTTTATTGTGAACTACCTTTAGACGCATTGGAAGCAAGTAAAATCAATCGATTTTTCAAGTTAAACGAGTGAAATTATGAAACAAATACCAGTAGAAAATAGTAGACACTTGCAGAGTGGACAATAATGACAAAGAACGAAACGTCTTTTCGAAATATTGCAGTCACACTTGTCTTCGATAACTGTACCTGTCAGGAAGTTCCATTGCAGCGTTACGAATCAGTCCAAGACTTAGCCATTTACCAACAGTAGACTGATATTCATGTGCGTCGGTGGCATAGCGGTTAGGACACTCGCCGACTAGGCACATGGTCCGGAGTTCGATCTCCAGCCGACGCACTCCTTTACCTCGCTAAGCCAGAAATAATGCTGGTAAAGAGGAAAGGTTGGGTATGAGGGTAGCAACCCCATCCTGTAAAATAAACACTGCTACAGAAACTTCAAGCCACTAGCTTGAAGCCCTATGTTCAACTGGGGGACATGAAGGAAATAAAAGACCGATATTCAGATGTCATGTTCGTGACAAACTGATGTCTTCCAAGTAAAATCTGTCACTAAATGAAATAAGTACAAAAGCTTAAAGCACTGGACATATTTTTTATCCAAGCGTAAGACGCCTACTCAAGACTCCGTGAAAGATTACACCTAAAACATCTGGTTTACAGAACTATCGGATGGAATCTAGTAGCTACTGATATCGCAATCAACAGAATAAAAAAATGTATGTTACCACATTCCTTTTAGGAGATTTTTTAAATACAATTAGAAATTTTGGAGAAGAGCTTTAAAAATGCCACATATATTAACAGTAGGATACTTTATACACTCGTAAACTAAAAAAATGTATCAATTAGTTGAAACCAGTCAAAGTTATAACGATTTATTAGTATGAAAAATTGAAGGCACACACCCGATAAATTTCTGAATAAACATGCATGCAATGCAACCGGACTTCTCCTTTGTAAAACAAAATAGATGTCAAATACGACAAAATGCGCACCCTGGATTCTATTGCGAGTCATCATCTACCAAATTATTTCATAAGTAATCCTCAGAAATCGTTAGAGTGTCCGTACTAGAAACCGCATATTCAACAGAGACCAGACATCTTGACTCAGTATAATCAGTCATCGGAGAAGACAAAACTACCCTAAGCAAATAATAACTGACACCATTTGCACAAGAGATGGCTTTCATGGCTCGAATTGCCTAATGGACAGGGCTTTGATGCTTGAAACAACGGGTGGCGGGTTTGAGTTTCAGTGAAAAAACCACCATTCATTGAGGATTGCTGGTACATTCAGATGACGAATACCAAATAGAAGGAAATTCACTGATATCTATGGTCGGCCTGCAAAATATGGGCTACCGATATCCATGCTGAGATTTCCATACTTGTACCAAAAATACAGTGTGGAATCAAGAAGTAAATCAAAAATAAATAAAATAATCCTGGATTCCACTACTATCCACCATCGATTAAATAACAGACAATACACAAAACTAAATATGAAAACCTGAAAGTTGATCTAACACTTGAAGGCATTCATTAAGATAATGGAAGGTTAACCTACATAGTGGATTCTATAAATGTGCACTGCTATGTGCAAAGAAGAGAATTCTTACATCCGGGTAGTACCAGAAGCTGTTTAGTGGATAGTAACACAAAACGCCACTTCAAACTTCAGATAGATCACAAAATTCATAGTACATAAAATAATAATACGTAAATATTATAAAGCTGAAGAACTACTCAAAGATGAAGATGTATATCAACAACTCCCAACAAATCCCATACAAACATTGGACAACCGCATCCAAAGGACCTTAAACAAGCTCACCAAAACTGGACAGATCACAAAACAAGACCAATGGCGAATGAAATCCAATGGACCAGTCCTACCCCGATTCTACGGCAGACCCAAAATACACAAGCCACATATCCCGTTACGACCAATTGTATCACTCCCAGGAACTCCAACATTTAATTTGTCCAAAGAATTATACAGAAAACTAAAACACCTAACGGAATCTTGTGATCCTCTAACAATAGAAGACAAGGGCTGGCAACAGATAATTTTGTCACGGAAATCAGCACGTATTTATATATATTTTATGTGCATTATTAGAGCTTATTCAAGTAGACAAACGCAGTCTTCTGATTGGTTGTTTTCGAGTTTCTCGGAGAGTGGAGCCATCTAGCTACGAATCATATTCGCTCGCGTTTAAGTCTGCTGTGATTGGTTGTTGAATCAGCCTTGTTTATATTTTCTCACGGCCAATATTAGTGACCTAGACATTGACGTAGATATGATAGAGAAGATTTGTAGCTCAGGTGGATGATTTTGATGTGGTTTTGTTCTCTGAGCTGGATGGTTAGTTTGCGGGAATTGGATAGCAGAGTTGATGGAGTGATCGCAAGATTCCGTTAGGTGTTTTAGTTTTCTGTATAATTCTTTGGATAAATTATATGTTGGAGTTCCCGGGAGTGATACAATTGGTCGTAATGGGATATTTGCCTTGTGTATTTTGGGTCTGCCGTAGAATCGGGGTAGGACTGGTCCATTGGATTTCATTCGCCATTGGTCTTGTTTTGTGATTTGTCCAGTTTTGGTGAGCTTGTTTAATGTCCTTTGGATGCGGTTATCCAATGTTTGTATGGGATTTGTTGGGAGTTGTTGATATACATCTTCATCTTTGAGTAGTTCTTCAGCTTTTTTGGTATATTCTTCTCTGTCCATGACTACTGTTGTTCTTCCTTTGTCGGCTGGTAAAATGACGATGTCCTTCCTATTTTTCAGCTTTTTGAGGGCTTTTAGTTCTTGAGCGTTGAGTTGTGTGTGTTGTCTTTTCTGTTTGACCATTGGTACAACGAGGAAACACAGGAAGAGATACGCCAAACAATTGTACCAATGGTCAAACAGAAAAGACAACACACACAACTCAACGCTCAAGAACTAAAAGCCCTCAAAAAGCTGAAAAATAGGAAGGACATCGTCATTTTACCAGCCGACAAAGGAAGAACAACAGTAGTCATGGACAGAGAAGAATATACCAAAAAAGCTGAAGAACTACTCAAAGATGAAGATGTATATCAACAACTCCCAACAAATCCCATACAAACATTGGATAACTGCATCCAAAGGACCTTAAACAAGCTCACCAAAACTGGACAAATCACAAAACAAGACCAATGGCGAATGAAATCCAATGGACCAGTCCTACCCCGATTCTACGGCAGACCCAAAATACACAAGGCAAATATCCCATTACGACCAATTGTATCACTCCCGGGAACTCCAACATATAATTTATCCAAAGAATTATACAGAAAACTAAAACACCTAACGGAATCTTGCGATCACTCCATCAACTCTGCTATCCAATTCCCGCAAACTAACCATCCAGCTCAGAGAACAAAACCACATCAAAAACATTGACGTAGATTAATGTCGACCAATTGGCTAGCAGCCTGCTCTCACCACAATCACTCCATCAACTCTGCTATCCAATTCCTAGAGAAAGTCAGAGGCTTCCAAATAGATGGACAAGAAATAATGGCATCCTTCGACGTCACAGCATTATATACCTCAATCGGACAAAAACTAGCAAAAGAAACCATGGAGCAATTACTTGGCAACGACGAACAGCTTCCACAACAATCAAAAATGCAACACACAAGCTGGATGGAATGCATACACCTATGCCTAACAACATACTTCCAATTCAACGGCCAAATATATGAACAAGTCAAAGGAACACCCATGGGATCGCCAATATCAGGTTTGATTGCAGAAGCAGTGATGCAAAGACTCAAAAACATAATTCTACCAAAGATCAAACCCAAGATTTGGATATGCTACATCGACGACACATTTGAAATAATCAAAAGAAACGAGTTAGATAAAACTCACAACTTAATGAACAACGTCTTCAACGACATTAAATTCACAAGAGGAGAAGAATCCGAGGATCGAATCCCATTTTTGGACGTTTTAGTCAAGCGAACAACCACAGGGGAATTAGAAACTCAAGTTTATAGAAAATCAACTCACACAGACCAAATCCTAAATTACAACAGCAACAATCCAATAACGCACAAAAGGAATTGCATACAAACACTATTTAAGAGAGCAAGGACTCACTGCAGCACTCCCACCTTAAATAAGATTGAAGAAAAATATCTCATGGACGTCTTCCGAAAGAATGGATATCCACAGAACTTCATAAAAAGATATTTACCCCCGAGCCAACCTATCAAACCAAAAGCCCCCAAGAAAAGCACAAAGAAAATCGCCTTACCATATATAAAGGATGTTTCAGAAATCACAACAAGACTATTCAAACCTTTAGGAATTGACGTCGTACACAAACCAACAAAGTCACTTCACTCAATTCTATGTCAACCAAAAGACTCAACAGCGAAAGAAGATAAAACCGACATAATTTACAAAATAGATTGTAACAACTGCAAAAAACACTACATTGGCCAAAGTGGACGTCCCCTTTGTCTTCGTATCCACGAACATAAGCTAGCCGTCAAAAGACATGATGTCCACTCCCTCATATCACTACACAAAGACAACCGCCTCCAAAGCCTCAGGATGGTCGGGGGTGGGTGTCTTGCGCTGCGGGTTGGCCACCCCTCCGCACACCTCTTGAAATGCTCCCATATGACCGTGCGTCTTACATAGCCTCTCCTGAGGAAGTCCTACTCACTGCCTTCACGTGGCGGAGGTGTTTCTCACTAAAGCGAGAGGGCAAAAGCGGATGCCCGGCGCTCTCCACCGGGTTGACTGTCCATTGGATGACAGTCTAGGAGAGATGGCTAAACCCTGATTCCAAACCTTCAACGACTGGCGTATGAAGCTCACCGGCAGACGTATGGACAAAGGGCTTGTTGGATGTCCTGGATGTCTGGCCCCATTCAAAAAGGCGTATGAACCGAACTCCGGTCACCGGCTGCCAATGGATAGTGGGCTCCCTACTCCACTCCTACTGCCTTGTAGGTCACACTTGGCTGTGTAAAGGCTAGAGCTGCACTCTCAAACAAAAGGCCGAGCGATGCTAGGGACATCACTCGTACCAAATTCCCAAGAAACTTCATGAACTCGTTCATAAAGCCGGCTCATCCTCCCGTAGGAGATAGCCGAAGTAAAGTAAGTAAGTTAGTACAAAGACAACCACGGACATCAGTTCAACTGGGACAACGTTCAAATATTGGACAGAGGAAATAACAAGAATGCTAGAGAATTTTTAGAAGCTTGGTGTTCCACTGAATCATCAGTCAATAGACACATACAAATAGACAAAATTTATCAACCGATAAGAAAGAAACTTCACACACAAAGGGTCAGAGTTCAAGCCAAAGAAACAATCAGTTCCAATAGAAGTAACCTAGAAGGTGTGAAAACACACAAAAACAACCAATCACATCCAAGGTCACCAGGAGAGATGATTAATAAACTCGTGGAGAAATCTAAAAGCTCACTTCAACGAATTGAAGTATGCACTGAAGATGTCACCTAGTAGGGTGATGAAAGCTTCGAAAATTAACCATCCAGCTCAGAGAACACAACCACATCAAAATCATCCACCTGAGCTATAAATCTTCTCTATCATATCTATATTACTCAGCATTTAACCAATACTATACTACAAAAAAACACACCTGTTAGATGATGGTCCCAAATTTCTTGCTAGGCTCATTTCCCAATCACTAGGAACACTAGGTCCTTGCAGATAGGACAAAAATATTTTCGCGTCATTATAACCAATAGGTTGAACAGGAATCTGAGTAAGCGCCTGACCCGGTACTAAAGCATCTGTTCTGTAAATATGAGCTGAAATACAAAAAAGGGGGGGAATTATGTGAAGGTAAATTTTTAAAAACGGCTGATTATGACTAAATTTGTTGCTTCATTTAACATTATATGACGAAACTATTAATAAAGTAAATATCCAATCTAGTACACAGACACATACGGGTTTCTAAAAAACGATCACACTGAATGCACATTTTGTTAATTAGGTCAATTTAATTCTTCATATAACTGTTGGGTTACTGAAGTACTTACTGTAACTATACTTAAGGAAGATTTTCATAAAATTGATTTTTATTCGCTTTACATTGTATAACTGAGTCTTTTTGATCTGCGTTTTGTTATCAGTGCTTACAAGTCAGTTGGTGTACTGAAGGATTGGATAATTAGGCATATTATGTTTAATAAGATTGGTACAGTACCTTACAAATATACCAAGATAACTGTCTTTCGGTTTCAGAATTTATGTTTCAAAATAATGTGATTCTCCCGTAATTGACTGTATTTTCCTTAACTGCATGTTTAGAAACTTTATTAGATTTACGTTAAAACCCCCATCCGGCCCATGCTTTTAGTTTAAGCACCCGACATTACAACGCATCTCTTAAACACTCCTAAACTTCAAAAATGCTTTGAATCCTGTAGCTACTACTGATGTCCATAAAATATATTCTCTAAAAATACTGAAGCACACAGAGTAAACTATTCTCCGTAAACAGAAGAGAAGCTGGAGTGGTATTTATTAAGTACTTGTGTGGTGAGAGATGGCTGTTAGTCAAAATTGGTGGACAGTGATTTGCGTCACTGCTTATGTCCTCAATATTGGTCGTGAGTAAAATGAGAACAATGACTGTGTAGGAGGATACAATTAACATATAGATGATCTGACATTCAAGAAACAGCTACAAAGAGATGCAATGTCAACTTTCTGTGAGAAACAACCAATCAGAGGACTGTGTTTTTCTGCTAACAATAATCTATAATATGTACATGAAAATCTATAAATATGTGTTGATATCTTTAATAAACGATCTGTTGCCTGGCCCTTGTCTTCTGTTGTTGCGCTTGTAGTTCAAGAAGACATTACCAGCAAAATTAAGTGAATCTAAAACATTTAAGATAAAGCAACTCACGTAGTGATGGAAAACCGGTGCAATTCGGTTCGCCTCCACCGTGCTTCATATTAATATGGCCAAATACGGGTGCATCTCCAGGAAGTCCATTTCCATCAGGGTATACATGATGATTTACAGTAAAATCACTTGGATCAGGATAAAGAATGAGTCCTCCAGGATGATGGTCTGGTAGTGGATCACCATTATGACCACAATCGCAATGTTTCATTAGATTTCTTAACTTGGATTGTCGCGTTCCTTTACCAAGCCGAGCTATAACAATTATGTTCTTGTTGCATAACAGACTTGGCTGACCTTTCTTTCGTTCTTGTAATTTATCAAACAGAAGCAAGTCATTACGATTCGCATAATTCACAAATACAAAATGTCCAAATGCTTCTCCTGAGCAAGAATATGCCTGATAAACTGGTAAATGACAATTTTTTGAGTTTACAGAGGCCAGCTGCCCATTGAGCTCCGCACACTTAGGTGGGGTAGTAACTGAAAGTGGGAAATGTTTCCGAAAAAACTCAAGCGGTAAGAAAGACTGATGGAACAGATTAAACAACAAGGTTATAAAAGTGATATTTTATCTTTCAGTCAAGGGCGTTGATAAATTTTCTCATTTCTATGAAATGAAAAAATGACATTAAAACAACAGAACAGTAGATTTTAGTCACCACTTGTGTCTAGATCACTTCAATAATCTGGCTAGCAAGCACTTACTGGTACATTCAAGTTTAATGCACAACGCTAACTGAGTGTGACTTTCGTTTATTAATTACTCTACACACTTCCGTGCATCAGTGGCACAGCGGTAGAATGCTCACCAACCACGCCATTTATAATACTGATAGAGAGGGAAGTTTGAGCATGAGGGTAGCGAACCTCATCCCGTAAAAATAAATACCACGGCTACCGAAGCCTCAAAGCCCTAGGTTCCACTGGGAACGTGAAGGAAATTTAAAAAATTCCCTTTATGAATTTAGACAAAGCGATAAGAAGACGTAATTTGTCTGAATCGTGTAATGTATTTGCGCAGCACATTTCGAACAATCTGATCACACCCGGACTTGCCATAGGAAATTAATAAATAGTTAGGTGAGAAAATAAATTTAGGTCAAGTTAAAAGGACATATTCAAGGTCAAAATAACAATGAAGACCATTAAACCAAATGGCAGAGGTAATAGTGCATCTGCTATGGTATCAAAACAAAATTTTACCAAGGAAGGTTTAATGTGATGACGAATTGTTTTTGAATGCATAAAGGTGGCTTAAACTTTCTAATTGCTAGGGCTTCCACGAACTTTAGGATACGCCCCAAACACGTTTTATAGGTAGGTTTAAAAGATCTCTTAACGTCAATTTTATGTCCTGTCTCTATAATATGTTTCGCAATAGAGGACCTAGGTCTCCCATTCTCACCATTAATAGGTTTTGAAGATTCCATTTCTCTCTGGAGCCATTTTGCAATATGCTCTGAAGCCAGCCCTTACTTGCACAGATCGATGAATCCACCCTATGTATGTGTGTCCACACGTACATAGGGTAAATGCAGTGGGATGTGACGTCATTTTTCGCATGTTCGGATGGCTTAGGTGGATATATTGACTTTACATTCTCTATTATTATGATATAAGCTGCATATAAAGTCTTTTTAACAGCAGCATTCAGTCTTTGTCTAGTTATCAAGCTGCTAGGATGCCCCATATATGGTAGCTTGATGTAAACGTCCTTCTTAGAGGCGAGTTGGAAAGTTCCATACCATCCAGTATGTTGTAGTGTATTTATCTTTATTCAAGATAAATATTTTCCTATTCACAAGACCTATACCTTCATTTCCTAAGGCATTGCCTTACACTAAAGTCCATAGCGAAAGATAATATTAGTGACCATGAGGATTTCTTTTTAAAAAGGAAGGATATTCATTTGTTCCGTTTGGTAAAAGATCCATATCAATAAGAAATGAATTCAAGTGAAGAGTAACATAAATATAGTGTGTTAACTTGCTAATATAGAAAACGTAAACTAAGTAGTAGCTTCGCTTAACACCCAGATGTCATGGGGTGAAAATAGTAGGTAAATTGATTTGTTGTAGAATTTATCTACTATTGGAACCTCAAGTTTGTTTTAACGTGCTCAGGACCTGCCAGATGATTAAACATATATTGACTTTCGGTTCAGGAAACACCGATTCGAATAACGGAGTACATACTAAAGTGACCATCAGAACAAATGAAACCATCCATCACACCTAAAACTGAAAACATAAGTCCGACGTCATTTATCGCTAATCACACCTCTTATAACCTATACATATATATATGGCTTTTGGGCTGCACATTTAAAATTGACACAAGAATAGAACTTGGGTACTGCGGTAAAGCATAATTCCATCAAAGAGTAAATTTCTTTGATAAATCATACACTGATACCATACTATTTACTCATGATATCTCAAGTAGAATTTATTTTCCACAATCATATAAGTTTGTTGAGCCCAAAGGCACGCGTATAGGCTTCAACGTGTTTTCGGTGCTCAAAAATTATTTATCATTACAATGTAACTGCCTTGGTAAAGCGTATTTAAAGTCAAAACTTATTTACTTAACAATGTCTGCCTTTCCTTTATATCTGTTCTTTTGAGTTCGCCACCCTAAATTTTTATTATTATTTCCTTTAAATCCTAGAGGAAAAGCCACGCGTCTCCACTGCGTTCGGTTCTCTGCTAGAGTTTTCACCTGCCCATATGCTTTCATCTCCTCTTCACACTACCTCCTCCAAGTCACCCTTGGACGACCGACTCTCCGCTTCCCTTTTCGGTTCCACTCGAAGGCTTGTCTAGTGATGTCACTTGACGGTTTCCTCAGAGTATGACTAATCCATCTCCATTTCTTCCTGCCTATTTGTTACACAAACGGTTTCTGGTTGGTTCACTCCCAGAGAACCCTATGCTAATTGCTTTTCGATTACTACGCTACATTCACGTAATAACATAAAACTCTTATTTCTGTAAAATTTCTTGCCAAGAAGTTGCGGAAATTACTATAATTATTTGCCTTTCAAACACTGAATCTGTGGATATAATCTTGTTGATCGATAAAACCTATAACTATCTGCTTGCCATTTTGTGACTGTCTAACACTAACTAACATCTACAATTGTATATATTGATGGATTTACATGTTCGAGTTGGCTCAGGTCAGTGAGTCTATGATTTTGGTATCGTTTTTGTTAAATGTATCTGACTGTGATACTACTGCTAAGGTTTTTTTATTGCTGTTGTCGCTTGTTGCCCTTCCTCTTATGAATTATTTTCCTTTTTCTGGTGTTGTTCTGATTGTTTTATTCCTTGTTTTCTCGGTCTTAAAAGAAGCAACCCACAAGGACGCATCTCTGTAAACTATATTTTTATGTAACAACCCCCTTCTCAGGTGTGAGGCTAGCAACCCCACCCTGTGAACAAAGTTGCTACAGAAACTTCAGCACGATAAATCCTCTTGCGTCACCCTAAATTAACATTAGGTTCCAACCTAAGTACGCCGTCATACAACTGCATATATATATATATATATATATATATTCATGAATGATTCAGTAAATAGTCTCTTTTCGGCGAATTCATTCACACTTACCTGTACAATCGCGAATATATACGGGTCGCTTTGCATGCATGTGTACATTAATTTTGTCAAACAAAAATACAATTGGTTATGGTTATTTTAACTAAACAGGTGAGAATTTGTCAGTTTTGGGTGGAGTTGCGTAACATAAAAGCGGTCAAGAAAATTGGATGTTAATGAAACTAGTGGAGTAACAAAGGTGATGAGTTGTCACAAACATTTGTTAAAATGGAGTTACGTAACAATATGAATAGTTTGATGACTGAGTTGTACTCAGGATACACATAGAAACAAAGTAGAGAATACGAAATTACGTAATAGTTCTAAGTGAATACAAGAATTATAAGCGATTAAAGAATGAGGCAAACAAACAAAATGAAGTCGTCAGAAATCAACAAAGTTGTCATCATGATAGTAGAAGTGGTTGAGTAGATCTCTTTTGTATGCACAGCTCCGGTTTTTCTATGTGAATGGCCAGAGCTTCAGCGATACAAAGAAGACGAAACTGTATTGCCTTTGGTAGGTTATTCTTGATTCTTGAAGGAGGCGTTTGCTGAGATGGAATGATCAGTGTTAATCAGATGTGCAATTATCGTGATATGTGTGACCAGATCTGGCCAATAGGTTCAATAATACCAAGACTTAGTGGTCTACCAAAGGTACACAAGGTTGGTCCCCCACTTCGTCCAATTCTGGATATGTCAGGTTCCCCTTACCACTCTAATCTAAAATGGTTGGTAGATATTCTGGAACCTGTAAGGAAACAGTTATGCACTCATTAGCGCCCTGACACTTTTCAGTTCATCAGTTGCATACAAGACCTGAATGTACCTAACAAAATTATGCTGTCCTTCGACACTCAGTCACTTTTCACCAATGTCCTACTCACGGAAACGGTCTGCTTTATATGTAAATATATAGATGAGAACCATCTCAATATTGGAATACCAACAACATATTTCAAGGAATTACTACTGAGATGCATTCTGAACTTACAGTTCACTTTCAACGAAACCATCTATAGACAAAAAGATGGTATTGCAATGGGATTTCCATTGGGTCCACTACTATCAGACTGCTTCGTGGCAAGCCTTGAGAAAGGTCCACCAAACCCGAGCACTAACAATGTACGACCGTATAAAACATATGTAAATGACATATTCATTATTTGCGACAACAGTAATGACCCCAATCTACTGCTGCAGACATTTAACTGTTGCCATCCAGCAATAAAATTCACTCTTGAAATGGAAAATGAATCAAAAATTCCTTTTCTTGATATGGAACTAACAAGAAGAACTGATGAGATCTTAAGAAGATCAGTCTATAGAAAAGCCACTTGGAATGATCAACTAACAAGCTTCTATAGTTGAGTGCCTATTCAGCAAAAGCGGAACTTAATTAAGTACCTTAGCACCCGCATCCGACGCATCTGTAGTCCTGATGTTCTAGAAACAGAATTAGATCCTTTGAGAGAAATCTTCATCCACAATGGACACTCACCAAGATTGATTGATAAAAATACCAAAGCAAGATTCGGAGAAATGAAACTTCACTTGCACCAAAAAAGAAACTCTACGTGAATTTGGATTTCAAGGGAAATTTAGCAAGTGATATTCTCAAGAGTAGGATCACATAATCTCTGAGAAGATCATTCTTTGCAGCAACGTTAAGAATAGTGTTCCCTAGTAGCTCGCCGATCTCCAGAAGCTTTAAAGACAAGATCCCGCATCTGACCACTTCTGTGTGCATACATCAGTTCACCTGCTGCTGTGGAGCCAGGTACATCGGTAGTTCGACGGAAATTTTGTCCAAAAGGATTCAAGAACACTATCCAGCATGGTTGCGAAAAAGCAATAGCGGTTCTATAAGGAGTGTGATAATTGAACATCTGATTAACAATGATCATTCCATCTCAGCAAACGCCTCCTTCAAGAATCAAGAATAACCTACCAAAGGCAATACAGTTTCGTCTTCTTTGTATCGCTGAAGCTCTGGCCATTCACATAGAAAAACCGGAGCTGTGCATACAAAAGAGATCTACTCAACCACTTCTACTATCATGATGACAACTTTGTTGATTTCTGACGACTTCATTTTGTTTGTTTGCCTCATTCTTTAATCGCTTATAATTCTTGTATTCACTTAGAACTATTACGTAATTTCGTATTCTCTACTTTGTTTCTATGTGTATCCTGAGTACAACTCAGTCATCAAACTATTCATATTGTTACGTAACTCCATTTTAACAAATGTTTGTGACAACTCATCACCTTTGTTACTCCACTAGTTTCATTAACATCCAATTTTCTTGACCGCTTTTATGTTACGCAACTCCACCCAAAACTGACAAATTCTCACCTGTTTAGTTAAAATAACCATAACCAATTGTATTTTTGTTTGACAAAATTAATGTACACATGCATGCAAAGCAACCCGTATATATTCGCGATTGTACAGGTAAGTGTGAATGAATTCGCCGAAAAGAGACTCTTTGCTGAACTATGTGTTTTGTTTTCATTATTGGAATCATTCATGAATATATATATATATATATATGTGACAAGTATGTATATACTAGATGACTTGAGATAACCGGCACAACACCTAAGTCCGAGAATTTCTGTCGGTGGCCTCCAACCATGTAATATCAATTATTCGAAGTACACTGTGTGATGTCAAGCCACATAGAATGGTGGCTGCATCTCAAAATTGACTTAAAGAATACCCTATGCTACAAACAAAGGACAAGACACTACACTATTGGTATATATCCATATAATATGTGTGTGTTGTTTGACAGTCTGTATATTTGCTATGTATATATGGATCGATATTCCATTATAATTAGCCAATCATGTTAAGACTGTCTATTAATTTGTTCATTTTGAATATTCGCTCACACACTTGTTTCACACACTTGTTCGGACATTCATATATTTCGCTCTCACACTCTTGTGTGATATTGATTCTCCTTGTGTTTGGAATATAGAAGTATCATCGCAAACCTAGTGGTCTTCTGATTTCCGTCTTTCTTGCGTCAGGACTATTAAATTCTCGACCAGTACATAACAACTATTTACTAACTAGTATCCAATCCATCCAATTTAACCAGAGTGCCCGATGTGTTGAGAAAATACAAAACTTAAAATTCTCAAACAAACCACATTTTTTCGTTCTGTGGAATTAGTACTCTCTGTGTGACTGTCATAAAGAGGTTTAGGTGCACAATTTTCAACCAGATGGTCATGCGTTCAAAATATGCCTGTACTTTAGGCGGTTAAATATCAGCCAGCATGAGAGGGTTATGAATTACTATCAAATAAATATGTGGATGCATATTAACTGGTTACACGTAAAAGACGTATTACGGGCTAAAATATAGTAAAAATCACAAGTATTCTTTTTGGTCATAATAATAAACAACTTACCGCTGTTTTGAGCTCTGTGCAAAACATGAGAACCACTTTCGTCAGTAAGAAGAACTTCATTCCATGGACCATTCTCTGGAGGCCCTAGTGGCAAAGTCACATAAAATTCTTGACGATTGACAATTGACCAACCCCATTTCCTCCAGCTAGTCTCTATCACACCTACAATGTAGGTTTCATGTCAAATGTTATACGGAACAAGCTATTGCACTTGCAATAAAAATAAGTAAACATACAACTACATGAGAGAGAGAGATGATATGGATTGTGTCACAGATGAAATAGGTTAGGTCGATAAGAACATAACATCTAAAGTTAAACATTCCTAATTTCAACATTAACGCAAATTAGCAGAAGTTGGAATTCACAGGTCACTGGATTTCGTACCAGTGGCTGAAGTGTTAACGAGCCCGCCTTGTAATGTAAAGACCATGGGTTCGGTCCCAGTTAATGTCATGGAGGCGTATTGCTGAACAGAACCAAACTAGGATAAAACTGCTGTCCAGTACTCCCTAGCTTTCAGTGGTTTCCTAACTGAAGTCCATTCGCTGTAAGACTTGAAGAAAAGCGTTTCATTACATAAATGACAGTATCAACAGAAAAGAAAACTACAAACTATTTTCACTAAGTTGATTTTGTCATTCAGTAGAATTGGAAAATAAAAATAAAAAACAATTTACATTATATCCTCAGTGGTAAACAGATTAAGAGTGATAAATCAGTCTTTAGGGAGCTGCCGCCAACTTAGAAATAAGTCTGCTTACAATGACAATCGTATCTTAGGTGATAAAATGATAATCTTAAATTCTTTGGTGAAAATAAAGTCATGGGATGTCAAGAAATCTGCTGTTTGATCACACCAGTCAAAGACAACAGTAAGACACTTTCAGTAAGATTAAATGTCAGTTGTTCAGTTAACCGAATTACACCCTTGAAAAAATGCATAATGCAGTTTGAAATCCATTAAAAATCAGTCGAAAGAAAAACAAACACAAGTAAGAACGTTCCGCATGCACAAATACCTTGTATGTTTCCCACTTTATATGAAACTGAAACATAATTATAAGGTTGAAATACTACCAAAATTAGCAGATATATAATATGGCAGCAAAGGATAAGGCATCGCTCGCCTAGGGGGAAGCAACAAGTGGACAAACTTTATTAATAGCGACTTTAATTGTAAAACCGAGTGTTAAAAAAACCCAACTTTAACATAACATGACGAATAATCAATCAATCAAACTGGATATCACATTTGAAATTAGTAAACTAAAAACATTTTTCAATCAACTCTATATTTCATCGCTATTTTCAGCACTGTCCATAGTGTTAATCAAAAGAAACATATCAGAATAAACTAAGGTTAAACCGAAGCATCTGCATTACTTTTGATAGTCTCAATCACATTTTCAAGGGTTTGTTTGTAGATTTGTTTTTACGAGTTTGACCACGGATTGATATCGGTTAGAGAGCCACTTAAAACCAGGGAGTAATAGACAGCTGTTTTATCCTCATTTTTGGGAATCATTAACAGTATGCGCCCACTGGAGTCCGAAACCAGGATCTTTCAGTTGCAAGGCAAGTTCATATATAAACCAACTCTTGAAATTTAATCTGATGCTCACTAGTGACTTGCTAAAAAGGACGAAGTTTCCTGGAGTTCTAGTGAGAAGTCGTGATCAGTGAGGTCCATCCAGTCAAATGTGAGGATGGATTTCCCACCGGTGATATTGGTTGGTGCTCGCGCTAAATCACTAATTGATAGAAGTTAGAATTCATGGGCTGGCCATTAAATCGGGTCCCAGTGACTGAATGGTATACGAGCTGGTCTTGTAACCAGAAGGTTCTAAGTCCTAACCCTGGTAGTGGGCGCGTACTTCTGATGATTCCCAAACTAGAGTGAAACGGCTGTCTAGTACTCCCTGGTTTTCAGTGGTTCTCCAACTGATATCAATCACATTGTACAAATTTCAACAAGTAAAAACACAGGTCAAAGCAGTCAAACATTACATTATTTTAATTCATAGATTTCTGACCAGCCGCATACCAAATACGAAGTCCTAAATTTATATAAAGAATAATTTATGGCGTAATTAAGGAGACGATATAATGCCAGTTACCAAAATGTACTCCACAGATAGATATTTGGTGTTCTTACAATCAGAAATATTGAGAAATTACAGAGTTAACATAATCTAACGCATCTTTTTTGAATCTTAACCATTTAAGATTACCTGTATATAAGAAACTATAACTGTCTGTGATGATTGACGATTTCTATTACTTTATTGTTTAAATAATTACTGCTGTTTGTTAATATTTATGTGAATTACAAACTATTCTGACAAATACAAATTCCTAAATTCATCCCTTTCTGTGTTGTTGTTTGGTTTCCTGTAATTCAGCCATTGAGAAACACTACTATTACAAATAATTATTCCACTGTCATGAACAGAGCATACGGATAATATTAAAATCATAGGCGATAAGAATAGACGGGATATAAAGTAAATGGAATAAGAATATTTAACTAATACATAGGACACAAGAAAAATAAAGCTGTTACCTGCTAGTTCATTATTCTCTTTGCTACCTGAAGGATGTGAACTGCCACTACAGAATGTATGTAGATATTCTCTCAAAAATGTATCAGATACTTTCTTGCATAAATTCACAGCTACTTCCTCCCACATACTGTAAAAATATATGTTGGTAACTGTTCGGTAAGATTTGCCATAACCTGTCTCTAAAATAATGCAAAGAGAACTACGATCATATACACATAGCATTTGAAATAATTGACGGCTGAGTAATCTTTAAATAAAACTTTTATTGCAAACAAATATCAGCTACTTTATCTTTAGAACCCAGAAGTATATTTTAGGAGTTTCTTTATATATTTAACCCGTTTTAATTTGCCAATTTACAATATAGTTTCCACAGGGTTATCGTATTCTGAAAGACGACAATCGATAATGTGGAATGCTTGTTGTGATACAAATAATAGTGTTTACTTGTGAGAATAAGAACATATAAATAGCCCTTTACTTGTCCTTATTACAAGAACCAATAGATTTAGAGATTCACTCGTGTATTAGAAAAAGGTCACAGGTTTTCAGATGCGATTTGTAGTGGATGATCTGTACGTTCTTAATGTTTGGTCATAGTATTCCCTTAAAAATTTACTTCATAACTGATGAAAACCAAGAAACAGGATTAAATACAGTCAAGGCCCAAATTAGCAGTACTCAGCTTTCTTTCAACAATCTTTTTACGCTTTCACTATATATAGTGGAAACGTTATTAAGCAAGTGTATTTTGATAATGGGTGACTTAGTAACAAAGTGCACTGCTTCACAGCATAAAGTTCCTTTGGTGGACAACAGAATGTGCAAATGATGCGAACTGACAAGTGTCAAATGAACCTTTGATGCCTCCGCTAAGAATTCGTCGACAACTGGTGAAGGATGCAGAGTCACAAAAAAATTAAGTAACTTATAAATTCAGATCTTATCTTTAGACCAAAAGTCAACAAAGACTGAAAAAAACAGCATTACATTAAAATAAATCACATTCAAATTCTTCTGTGACTTTTGCACAAGATGTTTAGAAGACTGTATTTTGTCATTTTCACCTAAAAGGACTGTACAGTCTTCGTATTCAAACTAACGATACATTTCACTGGCAGCACTATTACTCTAAAGATGCCACAGTTAATCGGTTAGCCACCAGCAATTCAGTATTGCAATGAGGAAATAATGGTGATAAAAGGTGGTAATACAGAAACTCTAGCTGCATAAAAATGGGCAAACAACAATGTGCAAAAACCAGTATGATTAAGGAGCGTAAAATTTTGGTTTACCAATGATAAACTATTGGCTAAATAATGAAGAGAACAGGAAAATGGTAAAAACGGTAAAAGTTTTGTCAACCAAAATTTGCCCATTTTCTTACTATAGGTCATATACAATATTCATTAGTTTTTTACCATTTATGTCCCAAAGGATTCCTCTGAAACCCACTAATTTCTCACCACAATTCACCGGCAACCCATGCTATTGTTTTTAACGCATATCGGACATGATACTAGGTTTCATCACCGTGATAACCGAGCACTGTAGTCACACGGAACTATTCGCTAAGGAACAATTATCGCAAAGTTAAAGTGCCTTTCGAGTCTTTTGACAGAATAGTGTAAGCTTTCTCTACAATGCATTTAAGGGAAGAGTTATTTTATCTTTTAATTCGAAAAACGCACTTTTCGATCGAAAAATTTCCTTACTGAGCGCTTAAATTTCATTTAGTTGATACCGAGTTTAAGTTTGATTCATCTCAAAATCTAATACTATAAATAAGATTAACAGTTTCGCCAGAAAGAAGTATTGCCTTTTTCCCTCAGTGGGTAAATGGCAAGTCCCAGTAACAGAGAAGTGTTTAACGTGTTTTCGTGACCTTGACCTCAAGAAATAACCCTAATTTTCAATGTTCAACATTTTTATTATTAAATATAAATCGATAGTGAGTGAATGCTTTCCGATCTTCACTGCATTTTCGCGTGGTAAGTGTAGCCATTCATCAGTAGTAAGAAGCATAGGAAATCCTACAAAGCTAACAGAGTAAGCATAGCCCATACTTTAGGACTAGCTGACAAAGTTAGTGTGTAGAAGGGCAGTGTTTCTGAAAATAGATACCTTTACTGACCCACATATTTAATGGAGGTGAGTTACATCAACTGGCTTTTACAACGTTTTCAGTAAATAACTTGCTCCTTTTATGTGCACCCGTAAGTGTACACACGCCAACAAAAGACGATCCTGAGCATGACGTCCCCACTCTCGACGTAATTTTAGGACATCAGAATGAGGATATGAGCAACTCTGACTGTATCCTAACGTTAGGCAGTAGAAAATGCGTCTTCATTGAATTCACCCAGAAGATTCTATTCCTCTTCTTTTTTCTTCTTTTTTTTGTTCACGTTCCCCAGTGTAACATAGAGCTTCAAGTTAGTGGCTTGAAGTTTCTGTAGCAGTGTTTTTTTACAGGATGGGGTTGCTAGCCTCATGCCCAACTTTTCCCCATTGCCAACTTTATTTCTCGCTTAGCAGGGTCAAGTAGTGAGTCGGCGGCCGGGGATCCAACCCCGGACCGTGTGCATGGTCGACGAGCGTCTAACCGCTATGCCACCGTCGCACTAAGATTCTATAGGTCAAGATACACTAGTCCAAACATTTCGAAACGAAACATATCATAAACCAAGGACGCAAAAGCCTTAAATGACTGTCCAGTTAACATCAATGGCAACGCCGGAGAAGCTCGGGTAGGAATTACGAGTAAATTGAAACGTATCACATCACCCTTTGTACCTCGGTTCGCTCCTCGAAAGCCGCTGCATAAAGCCTCTTTGAGAAACAGTGAAATAAGGACACAAACAGCAAGAAATAATTATCAGGTAACTTTGCTGAAACAGGCAGAGAGGTGTCTGGGATAAACTACTGTGAAGTTTGGAACCTGAGCAGGTGTGTGACCAACAAAAGTAGTGCACAATTAGACTGTTATTTTTGGACCGTCTACTTTGTGAGTGCATACGCAAAATGCACGAATCAAATAAATGGTAATATGCCGGCCGAAATATGAAATGCGAGTGAGGCAGCCTCATCTGATGAAGGGAAGGCTAAGGACAACACCCAAAACCTTCTCCGATATTTCCTCATCTGACAGGTGCTCTGGGGATTTTGACGAGATCACTACCGCCACCACGTGAATATCCCGATTTCGGTGGATGATGCAGAGGTTTTTAATCTCCTGTCTGAACCGAGGCAACATGAGTTACGAGCTCCTGGTGGATGCCACACTATGTAGTCAGTCTCCTAGTCTGACATGATATTCCTACCGCTAACTGAAATACCTAAAATGTCCGTCATCTAGGGATGGGAGTACTCATTCACAATCTTCATTTGCAATGATAGCAGCAGATAATCAGTGACCAACGACCGAATTGAAAGTCCGACATGCCTTAGGCTAAAGTTTTAAGTTTAATCATAAACTCATGTGGGGCAGCATGAAATACTGGGAGAGGAACAGCTAGGATTCAGACCGGAAAGACACTGCCCACTCACTGCTACGAAAATTAGACAGAGGTCAAGGATAACTCTTATTATCAGACGCATTTTGTATCTATCTTAATGAAGTATTCAACAGGGTATCTACTTTGAGCCTCTTCAGTAAAGTAACAGCGTTTCGGTATGATCAATGTCGCTGCTTTGGGGACTTCCTACTAGGTAGAAAGCAAAAATGCGATGATTGGAAGTGTGCCGCTGGGGGGCAAACCAGTAAGGAGTGAAGTAAAACAAGCGACTGTCCTGGTCTTCATGTCATTCATAGTATACATAAACAAGTTGCCGAAAACCCTCACCCCATCTTCATAACTTATTGTGGATGTTCTGATCCGGAAAACTGTAAGCAGCATTGGTGACATGCCGGATATGGAACCTATGAGGTTCATTATTTAATTCCAATAAAAGCGTAGTAACGCATGTAGGTAAAAGGGTCCTATATGTCGCAATACATAACAGATATACAACTGTCCAGTACGACTCAAAAATCTCATATTATATTACATCTGTAGCCGAAGCTTTTCGAATGATATGGACACTCTGAAGGGCTTTCCAACGCCTTAGTAGACCTATGTGTAAAGTATTCTGCCGATATGTCGAATTCCACCTAAAATCCTGTATACAAGAAACTGGTCCATGCTCCAAGCAGGTAAGAGCCTCGGTGAGGGCATGAAGGTTGGAGACTAAATTAGTCAGGGGTGTCAATGTCCAGCTCTTAATATGCAGTATGCCTGCAACCCTTCTCAGGTTGACGATTGTAAGTTGCAGAATGTCCGGACACAAACAAGATTAACCAACAATTACATTAATTGGAACCCACTCAACTACTTAACACAAACATATGTGCAATCAATACATCAAATGTTGTGGATTCTGGCTTGACGAACTACCCTTGAAGAATTGTAGGACTTACAGCAGTACGGCCACAACCCTTCTCAGGTTGATGATACAAGTGAAGGACGTCCGGACACAAACAAAGTTACCAACAGATAGATGAGAAATGATACCGATTCAGTATATACAACAAAATCACACACCAAGTACGATGGACTGCTCACCGACGTACTACCCTTGAAGAACTGTAGGACTCACAGCAGTACGGCCACAACCCTTCTCAGGTTGACGCCCTAGGTTGGAAAAGCGTCGCCGAGTTCATTTTCTGACCTCCTTCTATCATCTATATCTTCAACTTTGAATGGTAACACACGCATGTCATTGTATCGTAGAATATATTATTTTATTTTTGATTACAGCTTGATTCCACACTGTATTTTTAGTCTAAGTATGGAATTTTCAGCATGGATATCGGTAGCCCAAATTTTACAGGCCGACCATGGATATCAGGTGTACGTTAGCGGGGGATCGAACCTCGGACCATGTGCATGGTCGGCGAACGTCCTAACCACTGTGCCACCGACGCACAAATATCCGAACAAACATGTGAACTATCTGACCAACCAAGCGTAGACACAGAGTAATTTACTTCAAAGATAATAAAATTCAAATACTAACTTGAAACTTGATAGGCCTTTATTCGTGCAAGTCAGTTTAACAATTACACTCTCATACACAGCTGGCTTATCATAACTAAACTGACCATTGACTTTCGTCCTTTCGAACGGGCTGATACTTGCATAGTCATAGCATAAGACATGTGAGTTCATGGACGTCCCTTTCATTGTAGATGACGACACCAACGGTGACTGATTGATACCGATTGGTGAACTGAGCAGTGCATCAGAAGCTATTGTTGTTCGACCTTTAGAATTCTGTCTTACCGTAGGATTACCACCACTGCTATCCTTTAATATTAGCTTCAGTTTAGCATTAACATCTGTTGATAGGTCGGCTACACGCTGATCATTTACACTGGCGGTCTCACGAGTATTCATACCTTCTACCACCACATCTACCCTTAATTCTACTTCACGTTCAAGTTGTACAGAACCTTTGTTCAACTCAGTAGCAGTAGGCATTAATCTCATCTCATCATGATCGACCAAAGACAAAAGTGCACTATCATGATCGTTGTCACAAATATTCACTTTACCGTCGTCTGTCTGGTCGACTTCATCATTTTCAAACTCTTTAATAACAGCAGTAAATGATTTGGGTTCTTCCTAGCAAATCCTTAGAGGTTTCATACTTTTACTCTGACTAGTAATACCTTGTAAACTTGTAGAGTCAGAACTGGACTCTGAGGCTGTAACTCCCTTCTTTTGCACAAATTGCTGTGTCGTCTGTGGCACCAGTTGCAGCTACAGGCTTCTTCACCGAACCATTATCGTCACACCGTTCGGAGTCAGAGCCTGATGACGTGGACTTCACATTTAGCTTAGCACTAAACTTGGTCACTTCTTCACAGTTCGCCTTTGTGTGCACTTCTTGCAAATGCGTAAGACACAACCGTGTTTGTCTCGCAACTTGTACCCTATCTGTTGGGGATGTCCCACGAAAGCTGTTGCACTCACTAAGTTTATATGGATTGCTAGACACCATAAAGCTTTCTCGATATCCACTTCTCTGAGACCCTTTCGTCATTATTGATTGCGTTCAGCATTCAAGCTGCTCTATTCTAGGGGTGAGATGCAATATACTGGCAAACTTGCTCATAGTTTGATTGATACTATCTTTTACCAATCTCACAATATCATTGAACCTTAGCTCGACACCTTCATTCTCTATACAAGAGCTCATATTTACCCACTTCCTTTGCAGTCGAGTAGGTAGGCGTCTCGGTATTACCTCTAGGATGGAACTTGAGTTCAGGTCGCCAATGCAATTCATTGAAATAAATGCATTCTTGTAAGTCATCAGATAAACTGTGGATAATCGGTTGGGTTTCCATCAAATTACGGAGGCTCGAATTTAGGTAACTTTAAACCCTTACTACTCCTAAACGGCGGAGCGTGAACATCAGACTCATCATGCTGAGCATCATACATATCATTAGAATTAACAGGCAATTCATCGTCACTTAATTTTTTGCCTGCTTTCATGGTGCCACGTCCCTTTCTTGACCCAGGCATTATCCAATGTCACCAAAGTATCCAAAATGCCTCGATAATCCGTGTCCAAAGAGATTATGGGGCAGACTCAGTAAGTAATCCCGGAAGTTCCAGAAGGCGCTCCAGAAAACGAACAGATAAATAGAAACTGCCCCAGAAGGCACTCCAGAAAATGAACAAAAACTGTCCCAGAAGGAGATCCAGAAAACGAACAAGCGAATAAAACTGTCCAATAAGGAGATCCCGAGAAGGAATAAAAACTGTCAAGGAACTTATCCCTAAGTTCCTATTGTTACAAAGACGCTCCGCACCGATATAAATTATGTACTTTCTTCGACTTTAT